TGTGTAGAGTTAATGTCTTTGTCTTTCATAACAGAATTGCAGAAATGTGTGTGCAATTTGTAGGTAGTTGAGTAGAAGGAAATACACTAAGGGTAACAACTACGGGGAGGAGCATGTGATTTAATTATGTGATAGATCTGCTCAGAGGATCTTCAGCCTCCCAGACAGATGGAGTAACCATAGCACGTTGGAAAGACCAGGGCATCTGGGGACTTGATCATCAAAGTCGCCCTGCTATTGGCTACTTTAGGAATGGCAAGGAAGGCAAAGAAAAAATTGTATCCTTCTAGGTTCTTTCAGCTGTCTAATAATTAAATCCATATAAGATAGATTAATTGGAGAAAAACAAATGTAATTATGAAGATGGAGGAACAGATGTTTGGTGAAAGGGATGTTTATGATGCCGTGCAGAGACAGTGAGACAGGAGAGGAATTTGATCTCCAGGCCCTGCTGAAACCCCCCAGCCCCCCACCCTGGCCGTACTCTTTGTAGTTATCTCTGGTGATGACTCTTTCTCTGAGCCAGGCTTCCATCTAAATTCTTTCAGGTAGTTAAGGGAGACCAAAATTTGTTCTTGAATCTTCTGGGTTGCCTTCAGCTCAAAACAGTCCATTGCCAAAGTGGCACATTTTGGGCACGCACATTTTGAACCCCTTCAGAGAAAACTCAGTGAGAATGCCATCAATGCCTGTGTCCTTTATTTATTTGCACCTGTAAGAATTAGGTGTCACTCTCCTTCCTTGTACTTACATGTCATGAATTTCAGGAAGATGGAAATTTTTGGACACTGAACATCAGAGAAGTATTGAAGGTTCCAGTTACCCTTTATTCCCTTTTCTGGTCACCCATCACTTAATGATAGGGATAGGTTCTGAGAAATGCATTATTCAATGATTTCATCCTGGTGAGAACATCATAAGGTGCACTTACCCAGACCTAGATGGTACAGCTGACTACATACCTGGGCAGTGTGGGGTAGTCTATTGCTCCTGGGCCACAAGCCTGTACAGCTGTTACTGTACTAAGTGCTGTAGGCAGTTGTGTATCTATACATTTTCTAAACATAGACAAGGTGTAGTAAAAATACGGTATCAAGGATAAAATGTGTGTGCCTCTGTACTGGGCAGGGGCACAGGAAAGAGTGCTGTGGAGGGAGGTTCGACAGCAGGACGAGGGAGGGAATAGTGGAGAGAGGGAAGGAAAGGGTGGGGGGGAGAAAAAGCACAGAGAGAAGAGAGAGAAAGCTTGAAAAGAGAACTAATAAAAGGGAGAAGGAAAGGAGAGAAACAGAAAGAAATGGGGTGTGGAGAGGGAAGAACTGGACTGGGAGGAAGGAGAGGAAGAGGAAGGCAGGGAGGGAGTTTGTGTGCATGAGCGGGTGTGCACCTGCATGTAGGGGAAGGTGTAGGCGTGCTCCTGGGCTCTGCTTCTCCCCAGCCCACTCCTCTTGCCCCAGCTGGGGCCAGGGGACACGTGGCGGTGGACAGCATATTGAGCCTTCTCGTCTGTTTAAACCACCCAGTGCTGGCAGTTAATTTAACATCGTAGTTGGGTCCAGCCTTTTCTTTCAACATTGCAAACAAAGCTTTTGCTTATAATCCATTACAATCTGTGGAACCACTGTCATCTGCATGGTTCGTTGTTGAAACGTGCTTATGTGGCACATGACTGTAAATGTATGGTTCAGACATCACTTAGATATTATTCTCATCATTTTCATCATTCTGCCTGAAACAATTGTGGTTGTCAGAAGGACCAGCTATGTTTGCTGTTTGGGGGCTCATACTTGGGGCTGATGGTTAGGAGAGTGTCCGCAGTCCCTAGGTGCTCTTGCCACAACGGCAGTGGTGATGGGGTGGGTGGGGCGGGTTTTGGTGTTGGCACCCGGTGCCGGTGTTGGTGTCGCCTTAGTCACATATGAACCATGCTGGTGCTGAGAATGTGGACGATTTGACACGAGGACGAGGTGTCTTTAGTTTCCCACTCCTCCTCTTCTACAGAAGCAGTTTTGTTAGACCTTAAAGAGAAGAGACTTCTTTCATAAATTAGGAGCCATGTTTTGTAGGGTAGCACACAAAGGCATGGAGTTTACGTGTTATTTCTTAGTTCGGATCGGGGTAACATCTCTCAGACACACCCGTCTAAAATTCATTACTACTCTCTCCCCAAAGAGGGAAACTTTTCCATGTTGGATGGAGGGTGGCGGAGAGGTGGGGGAAGTGGTCAGATCTCAAAGGGAGATTTTCGTTGGGAGTCTCCACTGCAGTCACTGCCTGGGTTTTTCTTGTAGGTCACCTGTGAAACACTGAAAATAAAAGGAACTTTTTATTGCCTTTTCAGAAGTGCATACAGGCCAGCTCTGATTGCTAGAGGCTTATTCTTGGGAGATGGTGAGACAGAGTAACCTGTGTCCCATTTGCATTGCTTTATTTTGGGATCTAGAAAATTACCTGCATTTTATTTCATCCTCGATTTCCAAGGATCTAGTGCATATTTGTCTTGCTTTAATTAGTACTGAATAACATCACTCTGCTGACATACTAAAGCATAGACCTGGTAGACCTGGTTTTTTCTAGGAGTTACTTGAGCAGAAGTGTTTGGGGCTGGAAGAGCTCAGCTTGGTTTCCAGTTCATTTGTTTACTTGTTGGAGTATGTTGCTCAGGCTACTTTATTTCTTTGAGCCTTAGTTTCCTCATAAATGAGGATATTGATAGAACATTTTTCTTCAGGTTGTCAGGAGGAATAAATGTGAGAGTGCATTGTAAGATACAGTGCGCATTATCAATGTCAGTTGTGCCTGAGTGCCATTACTAAACATTTTAAGACAAAGAATCTGGAACATCTCTCTCATTCATAGAGAGCGTGTGCAGAACAAAGGACAGCCAGCATAATCCCTAGTCCCAGAACAATGAGTATGTATTCCATCTGCTAATAGCATTTACACACACACAAAACCAGAATAAATTCACAAAATTATACCAGAATTTAAAAAGCAATTACAGACAAAGTTGAAAGAAAGAGCTTGTAGTTGTAGTGAATGTATTATTAGTCCAGGCCTTTTTATGTGGGTGGAAGCTAGTAAAGATTGAGTCATAGGAATTGTATTTTCAGACAGTTTTGGGATGTGGGTGAAAGAGCGACAGAGGGAATGACTTCACTCCTCTTCAAGCTCCAGGAGAGTTCGTGGGCCTCTGTTAAGAATGCTGACCACTGCTGCTCTTCCTTTGTGATCTATTTTGTGTGTTAACTCTTGGAACTGTCTCCATGTGCTCTGCTCAGGTCACCCCCACTCCTTAACCTGCCTCCGGATGATAGCAAGCATAACTGCTCCACTGTTTTTACTTTCAAAGAGTTTTTTTGTAGGTCTTTCTAATATTTGTCAAGTTATATTTTTGTTTACCTTTTTGTCATTTTCACCTCCTTAATGTCGTGGATGTGACTTACTCATCCTAAGTGAGTGCTCTCCAACTGTTTGTTGAATAAATGTGTTTATTAAATATACACTACGCCGTTTATTTAGGGGAATCCGCAGTGAATGAGAATCATCTTTCTCCTCAAGGGTATGCATATATTCAGAGTTGGGCTTGGGCAAAAGTAGGTTTACAGTTGTGTAGTGACATTCTTTTGAGTTACTAGTTATTGTAATACTCATAACCTGCAGGTTAACTAGCTTATCTTGCAGGCACGTCCATCCTGTGAAATACTGGGTGACTCACATCTCTGGCCTCGGGTTGTTAGAATTTCTCAGGATGTATCTGAACAGGACTTTTTATTAGAATGACTGGTGTAGCTCTTGCGTTTGAGCAAGGGGTAAGCCAGTCCGATCAGTTTAGTTTAATATTTAGTTTAATATGGGGCAGAAGTGATTCCTCCATCACAACACCATTTTGGAGCACCTTCATGTCCCCAGGCTCTGCCTACCTTTTTGTTGCAGGAAGGGACAAGGCTATGTGAACGTGTGTGCAAACTAATACTAAGAATGGACAAGGTGCGTTTCTTCATTTCATTTTAGTTAAATGTCCTTACAGGCAAATCCAAAGCTGTAGGGGGCATTTTAATAAGTCCTACCCTTTCCAGCAGTCTGAGACTTTGGGGAATTTTCTTTTTTAATGTCAGCCTGTCCTTTAGAATAGAGTAAGGACATATGACCGAGACAAACAAACAAACAAAATAGCACTTTTCATAAGAGTCCCACCTGTAGATTTGTTTTAAGAAGCAGGAGTCTGAATTGCAATTTGGGGTAGAATGGGCCTTGGAGACTACGTGTTCTCATTTTCTTCTAAGAAAATAGGTCAGCAGATGCTCCTGTCTGGATCTCTAGTTGGAGGCAAAGTTACAGGCAGATTCCTGTATATGCTGAGATTCCTATTTTCTTTTGGTTTGCAGATTCTTTTTAGGTAGCTTTACCTTTAGAGAGACCCAGAGAACCAGTTCTAACTCATGTCTAAGGGTGTGGACCTATTAATGAGTGATAATCCTTAGAGTAGAGATCTGCTCTTACCGGAGGGACTAAGGAAGATGTGTTTTCCTTTTTGACACCAGGACAGGCATATGTCTGTGGGAGAGGACTCTGAACCCAGAAAGGCCGAAGCATTAGCTAAGTTCGTTTACTCCTTTGACCCCGTGAGAACTCAGTTTTTTCTCATCTGCAATATGCAAAACGTTCTTGTCTTATTATTTCAGCAGTACTTGCCCTCCCTTTGTGGAAGTGGGTTGGAATTTCTGGACCTCTGGGTTCTGATTCTGTGGTTAATATCTTTAGGCTAGGGACCAAAAGCACCCATTATTTTGTGCTCGTCACCAAGCGGGTAGTATGTGGGATTCTTTGTGAATGAAGACTGTGTTAACTAGATACACTTTTATGCGATGCAGATTATGAAGTTGATCATCCTAAAATGTGAGCACTGACTTTTGAAGTAAAGAAAACGCCTTTTCTTTTTATGTTAAAATGCTGCTGACGAGCCTTCCTGTCTGCTCTTCCCCCTTCACCCGCTGCAGTGTGTCGAGACTTTGCTGTCCTGGAGGACCACACCCTGGCCCACAACCTGCAGGAACAGGAGAGTGAGTAACAGCCCTCATCCCTGCTTTCTTTTTAGTAGTGGCAGCTTGAGGCAGGTCTCCCGGGGTGAGGCAGGGAGAGAACACAGCCGCCGGGCAGCACCATCCATCCCTTTGAGGGATTTGTCTAGGCAGCCGACGCCTGGGTGACGAATGAAGTTCTGGGTGTTAAAGTATGACAGGTGCCAGGAATTAAAAGACTGCAGGGCACATTGGAGGAAAAGAGGGACTTAAATGAAGCTTTTCTTTGCCTAAATGTAGGAGGGAGGCATTGATTATCCAGGTGTCAATGCAGGGAATGTCCAGATCCACAGAGAAGTTTTATGAGTTTGAGCCAAACTGATGACAGCTGCCCAGAAGCAAAATCTCAACAATCTGAGAAAATGTGCTTAAGAATGGCAGTTTTGCAGTTTATTTTACACATTATAGTCAAAGAAGGAGGCACAGGGAGAGTTCCATGAAATCCACTGGTGGTAGATTAGGGAGGTGGGAGAAGGCAAAGCGGGGAGATCTCTGAGACTGGATAACAGGCAAAATGGAGAGACGCACACTTCTTCTACATTGGTGGGTGCAACGTAGCTAATACTTAATGTTCCTGGCACAGGGCGGTGGTGTGCAGGGAAACAAGACAACAGTAGGGGTTCTCTGGTCTCCCACTCTGGTGTGGTTGTATGCTGAGGAGTCGGGAAAAACCAATTACTCTGACATTCCAAAGGTCTGTTATCTTAGAGGCAGAAAGACAGTAGACAGGCGCAGTTAAGGTGAAGATCGACCTTTGTCACGGAAGCTACCAGACTGGGACATGACTACCTGCCATGACTCACTTTTAATTGAGTTAGTTCAGTCTCAGCCTCGCCTGTGTGGTTACTTCAGTCTCTGAGTTGGTAAGGCCCCCAGGCAGGCGCCCCTGACCTTGTTAGGGTTAGTGTGTAGCTCCTTTCTCGTCCACACGTGCATCTGGGGCGAGTTCGAGGCTGGCATAGGGATCTACTTCTCCCCTTAGGACGGGCCTGAAGGTTTTGTTCCAGGCAACGAACGCATCTAGACTGTGGATTTTTCTGAATATCAGTGTATATCATTATGAAAATAAATCTGTTATATGCTATACAAAAGTGCATATTAATGAATATGTAATTTTTGAATCATTAATTAATATGTCAAAATAAAAATAAACATTGAAATATACGTTATAAGCAGGGTGGCAACTTGTAGAGCAGATAGAACACTGGCCTTGGCTTTAGGGTATTTGTGTGGAAGTCCTGGCACAGACACTGTGTTTCCAGGTGACCAAAGGCACATTACTTACCCTTTCTGATCCTCTTTTTTTACTTAATGGAAAGATGGGAATAATAAGTCCTGTGCTGCCTATTTATACAGCATTATTGAGAGCATACACTGAAGTGATGGATATGAAGCTCTTTAATGGCAAAGCTCTTATGTTTATTATGTAGTTTATTATTAACAAGCCAGTGTGTTGTAATTCCTCTCCTCAATCTTTCTGTCCAGTTGAGCATCATTTGGCATCAAACATTCAGCGGAACCGTTTGGTCCAGCATGATCTCCAGGTGGCGAAGCAGCTCCAGGAGGAAGATCTGAGAGCTCAGGCGCAGCTTCAGAAGCGCTACAAAGACCTGTGAGCGTCTTGGGGAGTGGGAGGAAATCATACTGGACCGGTTTTCTCTGGAGCCAGCAACCAGGGCAGAGAAGGAGGAGACTCTCCTTCTGTTACTCTGATTCCTCTGTTAGATGAAAAGTGTCTGTGTTTGTGTGTGTGTGTCCATCCTTCTCTGATTTGGAAAATTTTCTTTGTTTTTGGAACACTGACTTGTTTGGGGGATGTGTGGATTCTTGTTTGAAATCTTAGTATTTTAACTGTGTGACTTTGAGGCATTTGGTCCACCTATTTTCCTTCCCTGTGACGTGGGTAAGGTGATTTCTCGCCTCTCTGCTGCAAAGGTTGGCTGGGGTGTCCAGTGAAGTAGTGCATATGAGAGAACTTCATGAGTTGTGTTGGGTTCCTTTACTATTTCCTAGGAGTGTTTGTGGCTCTTAGATTCTTTAAAGCCCTTGCTTTTCAGGTATAGGTAGCATCTTCCAGAAAACTCGGAATTGTACACTCACTTTTCTTCATAGCTTCAGTGTCTGACTAAAGGTCTTTCACAGTTTCCTCCTTTAATACGTAATGGAAAGAGCATATCTCAGTTCTCTTATAGTGCAATATTTTTTTTGAATTTTTCAGTACCCTAAAACTCAGGGCACATTTCATCTTTGTTAGTAGCTCTTTGATATACCTTAATCTCTAATGGTGGATTGAAACCACAAGATCATCGTTTTGAGGAAGAAAAGGGTAAAGGAAGCGTTGAAGGGGTCCCTCAGGGTTTTCTGTAGTTGCCATGTTTAAATAAAACAGGAGAGCCTGTTATTTTTTGTTGCCTTTGAAGAAGGGTTTGTCTTTTTATTTTATTATTGGTAGAGAGGACTTTATTCATCATTTTTTGTTCAGCTTCCTCATCTTGTGAATAAACACCCTTAATGAATCTTTGCTATCCCCGACACTGTGGGAGGCCCCGGAGACAACAGATATGAAGAAATACAGCCATTACAGCCATTGCCTTTAATAGCCTTAGGAGCATAACCTGAACATGTTACGTGGAGATACTTGCAGCACGCACAGAGAATTGAATAATGCATTTCATAGTACGTGCCTCTGAAGAGAGAAGAGAGTGAGCAAACCTTTCCGACATAGGTGATGTATTTCATCTGGATGGGTAATTGGGAGCGGATGGCGATAACGGGGGAAACCTTTCTCGTCAGAGGGAGAAGCATGCGTAAAGGTGAGGGTGGGAGGGCAAGGAATCGCCTGGTGGCTGCGGGACGTTCACTGTTGCCGCAGTGGGGAGTGCCAGTAGGTAGGAGAAGAGGCCAGGAGCCAGACCAAATGGTCACGTAAGTTGTGTAAAGGAATTTAGATTTTATATCAGAAATAATGGAGAACTAACTGTTGAAGAAGTTTTAGATTTTTATTGAGGGACTTACTCTGGGGGCTGGGTCAGTAAAGGATCGGAAGGGGCGAGACTGAAGGCTGTTGTTCAGCAGTGGTCATATTAGGAGATGAGGAGGCTTGAGTGGGTGGCAGGGGGCAATAGAGACACAGAGAGGAGGGAGATGAGGCCTGACGTGGGGGCCACGTTTATGGAGTTAGTATGGGACAGATTTGAGATGGATGGAGACTTGGTGTCACAAACTATGGAAAGATGAGAGCCAGCTAGAATATGTTAAGAATTCTAAATTATTGCCTTTTACATTATTCACAATTCTCTGTTATGAAGGCCAGTTTAAGGTTATACAGAAGCTGAAGGTCCTAAATTAGGGCAATGATAATGGGTATGATGAGGTTATTGAGAGCTTACTGAGACAAACCACTATAAAATATAAATCACTTTTGGAGAGTAGTGGATTTGTAGGTGCTGAGAGAAGAACCAGGTGTTACTGTGTTTATGCCCAGTACTTCTTGGTTTTGGGGGTGTTCCTGCCTGAAATCAGTAAGTTAGAAATGAAGGTTTTCCATGTTCACAGCCTGGCACTTCTGACTGTGGAACATCAAGGGAAGAATTAAATGCTGCAGAGTTGAAGGAACAGGAACTCTCTGCTCACTGCTTCCTGGGCTTCCTGCTGGAGGTCAGGCTTGTCCTGACTGTTGACTAGTCTTTTCTCGCTTGATTTTGCTTCCTCAGGAGTCTGTATAATTAGCCAAGTGAACTAGAACTGGTCCTTCTTGGAAACACGGTTTGAAATAATTAAGCCGAACTTAAACTCATCTTACTGTCTGTGTAGGAGATAACATTTCCTATGTCATTTGTGACCTTTAACACCCACCTTGTTTGGATTTGTCTTCTCTGTTGTGTTTTGCTTTGCTTCCTTCCCATCTGTTGTCACCCTGTGTGTAGTGAGTAGTTGCTTACTCCTCATCAGATTTTATGTTAATTTGGAAGATGCAGGGAGCAGAGTCTTTGAGAACTAAACATGATTTTGTGTATGATTCATAATTATTACGTGAGTGAATGAAAGAAGGATATACTTATATGTATTTAAGCAGGAATTATTTTGAGTAGGTTTTTGTTGTCCACAGTCTTTTATAGCTGATAAGATGACATGAGAGAGCATGATTCACTGGAATCAGGCCAGAGAGGTTTCTGCTGGGAACCAGAGCTGTGGAATAGACATGTTTTCCCCTTTTTAAAGCATTATTGAAACTGAAAAATCTAATTAAAATTTTATAAAAATTATTTAAAAATCATACCACCCCCTCTCAGTGACCACGGTATTATTGACACTTTGATCTCACTCTCAGCGTTTTTTGTGTGCTCTCTACGTTTTGGGTATTTGTGGACATTGAGCTCATGGTGTCCATCTCCTTTGCAGAAACCGTGCCTGTCTCACGGTGGAGTGGTCCCAGTAGGGTGAGGTGACATGGTGATGTGGCAAAAGCATGTCGCTTTCCGTTATAGTGTAGTGTCTGGGGATCAGATTCCAGTTCTGCCACGTATTTTCTCTGGGATTTCAGGGAGATGATTTCACTACCATGGGCCTTTCCATGGCCCTCAAGTCTTTCCATCTGTAGGTGGTGACAGTATCAACCTCTTCATCACTGTTTTGAAGATAAAATGAGACAAAGATATGTACTGGCTCACAGTGAGAGTCTGCAAGTTGTTACCAATCTTCTTTATTCATGTTGTTTTGACCTTTGTTTTTCAGTGAACAACAAGACTGTGAAATTGCTCAGGAAATCCAGGAAAAGCTGGCTATTGAGGCAGAGAGACGACGCATTCAGGAGAAGAAGGACGAGGTGTGACTCAGTCATTGCCCCACACCCAGTGGAGGAAGGGCTGCTCAGCTCCGGAGCGTTTCTTCTCCGTGTCCATGGGCTCGGTGGGGGGTCCCTGGGTGGGCAGCGGAACTCCCCTCTTCTGGTGCACAGTCCAAGTACCGCCCTCCACGGACCATTGTCTGTTGCCCCTCAGTCGGTTGCATGTGGTGAAATCCTAAATGACGATAATGGGTAATTTAATATAAAGTGTGACTTAGTTTCCCAGGGCTGCTGTAACAAATCCCCACAGACTTGGTGGCTTAAAACAAGAGGAATTTATTCTGTCATATTACGGAGGTTAGAAACTGAAATGGAGGTGTTGGCAGGGCCATGCCTCATCCTAGGTTCCGCTGGCTCCTGGCAGTCTTTGGCATTTCTTGGTTTGTGGCTGTCCCACTTTAGTCTCAACCTCCATTTTCACACGGCCTCCTACCCTGTGTCTCTGTGTCCTCTTGTTTTCTAATAAGGACACCAGTCAGTGGGTTGAGGACCCACCCCAATTCTGTAGACCCCTCTTAGCTAGTTGTATTTGCAAAGACCCTATTTCCAAACAAGATCACATTCCAAGGTCCTTGACAGAAATGAATCCTTAAGGGACACTGTCCAGCCAGCCCAGGGTGCCTGTCCATGGGCTCTTCCCACGGCTCAGTGGGACCAGACTTGAGTACAGTCTGGACAGCGGTCAGGAGCGGCCGCTGCGAGAGGCCGAGCAGTTGTCGCTCGCACTCTTTTTGTGAATTGTTTCACTTCCCTGTGATATGCCCACTCAAAGCACTGATTGGTTTGATTCTGTATATATTTTTAAATTGTATAATTTTGAAAACCCCAAATGGCTAAAATTAGCAATAGTGTCTGATTTGCAAAATTTGAATATGCAGTTATCCCTTACTTTTCTGTTTTCAGCATTTCTTATTTTCCACTTTGTAGTAAGTGATTTACTACTTTGTAAACAGTGATTTATCATTTTTAATAGCAGAATGGTTATATGCTTGGTTGTATAATTACAAGTGCTTTTCAGGGTTAGAGAGGACACTCTTAATAATTTACATAAATTGGGACTGTCCTCAGCTGTCTGGCACCAATTAAGTAGATCTAGTCAGGGTCACCAGGAAACTGGTCTCTGTACACTGCCATCCCACTGAGCCACCCTGGTGCCCGTAGGCCTCCTGTGCATTGCCAGGTGAGAGTGAGACACCTGGTATGAGTGTATTTAGCTGATTCTTTAAGAAACAAACCATGGTCTGTGGTAACCAGAACTGCAGGTGAGGACTAGGGATCGCTTTTCACCCTTCCTCTTACCAGCACAGCAGCCCTTTCTTACTACAGAGTGTGTTGCTTCTCTATAGTCAAGACTGCTGTGGGGATGAAACTGGGAACTGAAAGAAGTGATTATGTCTTGTAGACAGGAACGCTTCTATTCAAAAATAACAGAGTAATGGTTGGCTTCTCATAAATGCTGTTGGTGTCCTATGATTTTCCTCCCCACCCCTCCACCCCATTCAGGGAAAAACGGGTGCTAAGAGAAACCAAAACACTTTATTTTAGGAATGTAGACTCTGAATAGCAATCAATAAATAATTTCATGATACTGTATAAAGTAAGCAGTGTAGTGAATAACTTCATTTTTCAGATGAAGAAATTCTGACCTGACCTGGCCGGTGTAGCTCAGTGGATTGAGCATGGGCCTGTGAAGCAAAGGGTCGCCAGTTCGAGTCCCAGTTAGGGCATGTGCCTGGGTTGCAGGCCAGGTCCCCAGTAGGGGCCACATAAGAGGCAACCACAACATTGATGTTTTTCTTCTACCCTTTCTCCTTCCCCTCTCTCTAAAAATAAATAAATAAAATATTAAAAAAAAAAAAGAAATTCTGACCTGAAGAAGTGATTGGCCCCAAACTATATAATAAGATGCCAGAGAAATGTGTGTACAGTATAGACTGAATGCTCCTGACTTAGATATACTGTGACACGACATAAAACATGTAGACTTTGGAGTCAGCTGCCCTGGTCTTGAATCTCAGCTGGTCATCTTTTAGCTGAGATGACTTAACCATGTAGAAACTCAGGTTCTAAATTGGGGAAGTCATGAGTTATGCATAATTTAAAGAGCTGTTAGGAGGTATAAATAAGATTATGTATATAAGGCAAATTAGCATGTCTAGCCTTGTTATGGTATAATTTTATTGTGTCTTTTTTAACAGAGCTCAGATGTAAAGAAAGTAGCATTTCCTTTCGGGAGACAGATGTTGAAAAGTAAAAAAATAGAAAAAAAAGGGAAGGAAAAAGATGTTAGTATTCTTACCAGCACTGTGGCCTCTCCCCTTTCTCGCTTCCCTTTCCCCTCTTTTCTCTTTATTCCTTCCTCCCCACTTTCCTTCCTTCTTTCTTCTTCTTTTTAAAACTGTTACAGTGTCTTGAATATGGTAGTTGCATGTTTTTCTAGGCGCCCTGTTGAAAGGGCTTGTAGCCTTGGGGAATACTGGACTGTGTGCGTTTGTGATTAGTGAAAGTGCTCTGATTTCACCGGGTCACAGGCATAAGCATTTGTCAGTGTTTAATAAAACCAAGGAATGTTAGTTTAGTTACTTTAACTTAGTTATTCTTAAATAAAACTCTTAAGTAAGAATGTGTGTGAGACAGACAGTAAGAGAGAGAATACCCGTAGATATGTTTGTATGTCTTTGAACCTAGGTCCAAATGTATGTGAAACTTTTAGAGAAAAACTTCTTTTTTTTTTTTTTACACTTAAGTAAACAGCATGGTCAGCCATGTTATAAAAAGTCTGTGGCACTAGTCCAACAATTTGAAATCATTTATAATATGAACTCCTCAGGGATAAACTTAGTAACTAATTTACATTAAAAGTTAAACTAGTAGGAACTATGGTACTTTTTTATAGCATTCTTACACTGATTAGAATTCCATGTTTTAGAAGAATTTTTATGTAAGTTGGTATAATTTGGGGGATAGCTCAAATAGTAATACATTTTAGGACTAAAGTTTTCCCCTATGTTTGGCACTTACTAAAAATAAGTTAATACATATATGGCCATAAAGGGGGAGTGAATGGGAGGCTTCTGGTTGAGAAAAAGTCTTCTCTGCCTTCATCCTGTTTACATTGGTGTTTTTACATCCATAGAATGGGAATTATCTTGTTTTCCTGGTTTTAAAGAGTAACTCTGTGGGATTATACCTGCTTTGAGTTCCCTGCTGAGTTAGATGTTAATACATCTGTTGCTAATTGGTAAGGAATTTAGCAGTCTGATGGAATGGCTTTCTTTTTTTCTTCTTTCTGACAGTCATTTGACAATCATAATTTTAGATCTCTTTTGGGTTGTTGTGATACCCAAGATTTCCCCAGGAGAGGTAACACTGATATAAAGTCATATGAATCATAACAATACTGTAAGGAAGCCAACACCTTGGCTCAGTGACTTGTCAGCCACTGTGGGAGACGGGCCAGGCCCCTCTGGGCCCCGCGGCCCCTTGTGTGTGCTGATGCCTCTCTCAGGGCGCTCTCTTTGCAGGTCTCGCATTACGTGGTCATTTGCTTCTAATACTCAGTAGATAAGGACTTTCGGGATATTGACCATGTCTTGTTTCTCTGTAGGTCTCTACCAGAATGATTGAAGGGAATCAGTAAATCTTTGTTTTCATTAAAATGACTTTCCTTAGTATTCTAGAGATTTTAGACTGTGCCCTTTCTTATACTCACAGCTTCAGATTTTCGAGTTGGGTGACTTGGATAACAAAAAAGCGAGAGATGAGATGTAATGGTACATTTTTATTTCAGTAGTGTCTTTACTAGAAAATTTTCTGTGTTACAGAATTATTATTTTGTGTGTATTAGTTCAAAGTAAGTCTACCTGATGAATATGATTATATATTTTTTTAAAGGCACGGAAGATAACTTCATAAGGGCTTATGAAGTTTTTTAGGTTAATTTTTCCAAGTTATGTTTTATGGAACACTAATTACATAAGGTTTATATTTTTTATGTAAAAAAGGGCTTTGATCACAAAGTAAATTTGGAGATTCATGAGTTATAGGAAGATAACAGGTTTCTTTTATCAAAGTTTTAGAATATGCTAGTCTGCATTTTGAAGAGTTAGATATAATACATGCTTTCCATTGAATGCTTTGGAATTGTTAAGAGAATCTTTTGTGACCAGTGTTTTTATGAACACAGCTTGGAAAATCCTGTTCCAGACTAACCTTTGACAGGAAGGAAGCTGAAGACCGAGGAGGTTATTTATGTCAAGGGAGAGGAAGCTGCTTCTAAGCATTGTGACTAATAGTTGCCATCACTAACGTGTATCAGGGGAAATTCTTTACGTTGAAGTCTCGCACCTGAACGCACTGCACAGTAACCGTGTTGGGAAGCAGCGGGGAGAACTGACTTAAGCTGAACCGCGGTTGTATTACAGCAGCTATTTTCCATGGAATCTTTCATTCTTTCCCTTCTAAGCCTAGCTAACCTTTGTTACTCAGAAAAGAGCTAAGTGCTTAAAATAAGAAAAGGTTTGGGTGCTAAGGTGCATGCTAACTTATGATTATTGTTTTTCTACTTGATTAAAATCACTTCCTTTGACTAGGTGATGCGTTGTGATGAAAGGGCACCATCCTTGTTTCTCTCCTGGGTCTTCACACTGAGAACGTGACAGCGTATTGCTATGTATTTTTTAGGACTCAATTTAATAGTAAGAAAGCAGTTACAAGGTGTCTGTAGTGTAGTTTAATAATTTCTGCTAACATTTCAATCTGATAATTTTTAAAATATTTTTATTCAGTTATAGCAAAGAAAATGGTTTTTATTTTGTTTGTAAGGCAAACCAGACCACTTAGGAAAATGTAGTGTTGGATGCCTAGTAAACACAACAACTTAGGGAAGTGTTAGCAATTTTTCCTTATTTCTGCAGTGAAAGGTACAGGAATTTGAGAAATTCTATTATAATAGAAACTAGTTTTTAGAGAACAAGGTGTCTGCCCCACCTCTATCTTCCTAACTGATTGATATATTTATTCCTTTGTAAGACATCAAATGTAATAAACTTGGCTCAGTGGCTGGCACCTGGTAATACTCACAGATTGGTTCAAATGATACATAAGGGAATCAAGAAATTTAACTTTAAGATCGAGTAGTTCAAACTCTTTATTATGTGGGTAGAGAATTGAAGCCCACGGAAGCCCATTTTAGTGGTTAACACTTCTTTCCCAGTGTCTCTAAAGCATCTCTGCTTGAACTGGAAGGAAAAAGAAAGTCATCTAAACCTCCAGACTCGGGGATCTTTTTCCATTCAAGAGTTAGAAGTTCAGATTTCTTTGCCTGAAAATCACGTGTGTGCTTAGTAGGACTGTGTTCTTTACTCCTTATTTTGAGTAGCAGCATTTTGTAAGTATCCCCACTCATGCTTGACCCTATAAAATGGGCTTGTAGATGGATTATTTATCCAGCTGTGTATGCATGTATCTTGCACACAGTTTTATGAGAAGCCTCTAGCAGAGGTGTCACTCAAAGGCAATGTGTTAATAGAGTATGTATGAGTTTGAATTTAGGCATTATTTAATTTAAAGTGAGATTTGTAAGCTTGTTTTGGTGAACATTAAAAGCAGAATATATGGATAATCATTGCTAATTTACCTACCTTCAGTATTCAACTTATTTCTACACTGATGTGAAAGAAATTGATTTATTCAGATGAGTTTTTTAGATTTGCCTTGCTGTCTTAGTATATTCTTCATTTTGACTGATTCAGAAAAATTGAAAAAGAAAGAATAGTAATCACTTCTTGCTTCAAAATTTACATGAACACTTGAGCATTTTTTGTATTCCTTATTATAAATATAAAGACATAAGCAGCGCAGACTGCCTGTGATTCTTACTACTGTTTGCCCCATTGAGTATTGTTGCCGTGTTTGTATCAGCCTTTAAGAATCTGGTGACACTGTGGGCCTTCTCTTCAGAAAAGTGTACATGAAACAAAGTTTATGTGCCTTTTTTGGTGGGCTTTCATAGAAATAAACTTAGGATCCAGAACACTGTCAGTCTTCAGCTTAAAACTTTGAATAACCTAATCCTTCATTTCTTACATTATATAAACTCCAGACTTCTTAAGACTGTCTGTAAGGAATGCCTATGATTTAGCCCTAGACTGTTTTTCTAGTCTCACCTTTCTCTGCAACAGTCCACATCCTGTGTTCTAATTAGACCGTGGGTCATTCTGCAGATTGACCAATTAAAATACTCAAGATTTTGCTGATGTTCTTTTTACTTACTTTGCCTGTTGGAATCCAGTTCTTCAAAATCTAACATGGGAGCAAAGCCCTGACTAATTCCTTTAAGGAGAAATAATACTCACTTTTGTATTCCCAAAGACACTTGTTACACCCTTTTGAGGCTTTATAGTTTAATTGTATTGCAGTTGTTTGTGTACACCTTTTTTTAGGGGGATGGCAGTATTTTAGGGGACAGGATCAGAATGTCATTTATCACTGAGTAACTGCTGAAAATTTGCCTGGAGGTGTTGTGAAGGGGAGATGGGAGGAAGACCATTTCTCTTTTTCAGTTAAAACAGTGGTACTCTGGCGCAAAGTTAAATCAGGATCAGCCAAAACTTCTTCTAAAAGTATTTAAATTAAATTACAAACGCAACTTACAAAGTTTTATGGATTACTGCACCCTTGTCTACACAGACTTACTGAATCATCATCTTGGAAAAAGGGTCCACCAATATAAATTTTTGTTGTATAACCAACTTTAGGAATACTGGCTTCGAATATCTTCAGATTGAGTTAGGTTTCCATTTTAATTTTTAAAAAAAGCCTTCCTCTCTCCTCTAGATCTTGGGACACCCTGTAGGGCAGTCATCTGTGGCATTCGAGTTGCATGAGCTTAACGCCAGAGAGTCCGTCATAGGCAGAGCCTGCCCACAACAGCTTAGGGGTGGAATGTGGAACCGTTGAGCTGCAGGGTCGTTGTCTGGAGTTGGCTCATGCTTCGGTAATATTTATCTTCATTCTTACTATATTTGCAGGATATTGCTCGTCTTTTGCAAGAAAAGGAGTTACAGGAAGAGAAAAAGCGCAAGAAACACTTCCCTGAGTCCTCGGGAGCCAATGTTTATGGAGAGAGTTACTATTATGAAGATGGAGGTAACATTGCCCACGTCATGATCTGCTCTATCCTTAGATTCAACCGCGAGACAGCCCTTTAAATTTGTCGATAAAGGGACCATGGGGGCCATTTAGATTTGTGGTGGAATTCTGTCTGAATGTAAGGAATTCATGTGTTCCTTCCTGGACGACAGAGCCATTTTCAGGGCTATTACAGCTTGAATACACTTTTGTAAGATTTGGCATGTATTCTGTGCTGTTGCCCCTGGGAACGCTGTTGTTACATCCTTAGCACATAACCTGGGGTGTGGAAAATAGTGGGCTTGGCCTGTCTCAAGGAACTCTGGTTAGGAGGTTTGAAGTGGCCAAGCGGTACAAGTAATAAAGAAGGTAGGTGCACTTTCTTTCATTAGTTGTGGGATAACACAGCTTTTCCCCACGCATGTTGTGTTTTAAACAAGCTGATGATTTAGCCTGTTGATGACAAGTTAAAATTTATGATTCTCTGGTCATTATTTTGCTCCTGGTGCATTCTTTGCTATTTGGTTACCATATAGAAAACTTTCTGAGGGAACAAAGTCCCTTTCAAGTTCCTCCTTCTAGTGCCTGTGCTTGCGTCTGGTGGTGGCAGTTTTCGTGGTGGTGGCTCTTCCCCTTCAAAGTGTGTTGGGAAACGAGCATCTGCAAATAATTGCTCAGCCCTTCCTAAAGATCTGTCAAAAGAAAGACATTCCCTGTAGTTTCTAGTAACAGTGTTTATGGTAGCCCAGCTCAAAGAACATACTTAGGATGACAAATTCTGAAGACTGCTTTGAGAAAGTAAAGATTTTAAGTTCAGTGAGTTCAGCGGTCCATGCAAACTAATTATCAATTGCCTCTATAATTTCATTGTAAAATGTAAGTAAGTAGATGTTTGTCTTTAATAAGTAGAATGAGGGGCATGTGTATATAGATGATAGGACCGTCACAGTTTAGGTAAATCTTGCTCAGTTACATTGTTGCCCTAAATTGATCGTACTCAGTAGAACTCAGCTCTGTGGCATAAATGGTAAGCAGGCTGGTTCTGTGTTTATTGTTTGCTCTGCTCTTCTTCTGTATGTGAAATGCCCGGCTCTTTTTTGATATCCAGTTTTCTTGCACTGGCTTTTCTAATGCAATCAGGCATTACAGCATTTGAAAAGAGAAATTACTGCCACATTTTTCTGTACAAGAGACCAGAAGGTAAAGAGTTATTCTTCAGACTTAATTAAAATCTTAGAAATGTGATCTGGTGTTTTTCATTTGTTTTTATTTTTAATTCTGCTCTGGAGGCATGTTCACTGCAAATAAAAGTAACTACTTTAAACTTATAAGTCTATAAAAACATTAGGATGGCAAGTAATGAAGTACCCTGAAATACTAATTTCAGCCTTTCCATGTTAAAGCCTATACTAACTTGAATTGGAACTCACACCTACTTGTTTTGACCAGAGTACCGTTATCCTGATTCATATGTGTAGGGCAGAAATTAGTGGATTTCCAGGGACACCTAAAAGTTAAAAAAGAATTTTTCTATGTTTTAACCGCTTTTGTAAACTTAAAGACATTGGCATAGATGCCACTTTTTTGTAGTTGGAGGGTGTTGAAAATAGGAAGTATCGATCTCCTGAGCACATGCATGTAAACACTGAAATTTGTCTCTCAGTTGCGTTGTCCGGAGAGATTATTTGTTGCTGAGCATGTGATCCTTATTTATGCCTTTGGGCTTCAATAAGTTGAAGTCACAGAACCCACAGTGCAATCTAGTTCATCCTTACAGAGCAGTCCTGTGTTCTTTTCAGTGGCCTTTCCCAACACATGACAGGTGATCTCCCACTGTTCTTTTCTATCTTTATACAATGTGATTTTGCCTTACTTACATAATAATCACAATATGTTACTACATAAGTGGTCTTTTCAGCTTTTATTTTACTTAAAATTTAATAAATTAATCTTTTGAAATGATCATTTTTAGATTTTGTACAAATTTGTAAATACATCAAATATCTCAGATTTATATAAACTGAAATGGTCTACCTTACTCATTTTTGAATCCATGTTTTTCTTTCAAAGATACTTACCTGTGTTGAAGGTATATTAATGATTTTTTTTAAGTTATGGTGTTTGGAATCATAGATCTAAGGAAATTATTTATTATAAATCACTAGCCTTTTTCTCATTTGTAAAATGGGATTATAATAATATATCCTTCTCGTGGATGTTGAGAAGATCAAATAATGTGATTTTGGTGAAGACATAAACTCTCAAGCACCATTATTTATACACATTTTAATGTTATGTGTGTATAACATGGTATTTTTATAGCTAAACAAAAATCTTATTTTGAAAGACAAACATGGAGGCACAAAAATAAAATTGTGTGTGTGTGTATATATATATTCATATTTATGTATGTGTATATACATATATTGGCTATAAGGAAGTCAATTATATTTGCCAAATAACTTTTTCTGAAGAAACATACAAGTCTCAACACTTAACTGAAGAGGGTTTGAAAGGATTCAAAGAGGTTTCCCCCACCTGTCTTTTTTTTTTTCTTTCCCAGATTTAAGGATATCATAGCAAGTGAACTAGGCAATAAGTATTTTTATCCCATCAACTCTGTGCAAATGTAATAACAGCTCTGCTTTAATTCTTTAACACATTTCCCTAAAGTAAAACTACTAATATTATTTGACTTTTCAGAAAGAGTTTAAAAACGACAGTAACAAGAAAACAATCACAGCCTCACTGATCCATGTTGAGAACAAACCCTTCTTGTTTGGTTCGGCCTTAAAGGCAGCCCTCACCGGGCAGCTCTCTTTGCCACTGTGAAGCTTTGTTCCCTAGATGGGCCATCCTCTCAGTAGCTGGTCTGTGCTGGCTTCATTCACAGCAGGAGTCAATTGGTTCTTTCTCAGTTGTCAAGATACACTTAAAATAATAGTTTGTTTAAAAGAGTAGATAGTTTTTTTTAATCACATAGTAAGTATTCTGTTGTTTCACTTTTATTGTTATGTAAAAAATTAATTTAATAGTAAATTATGAAGATAAGTACTGTTCCTGATTTTTTTAGAAGGCATCTTAATTTAAATGTCACCTTTGAAGCAAATTTTCTTTTCAAATTCAGGAGGAAACAATTCAAAGTGTTTGAGAAGCTTACGGCATCAGTGAGCCATTTAGCATGTATCTTCCCTTCCTCTGCACCTTTATTACGTTAACAACGACACACTTAAAAACAAACAAAACTCATAAGGCCAAACAAACAACAAAACCTAGAAACTAAGAAATATCTGGTCAGCTTAGTATAGCTGTTTCAAAGACGATTCAGCAAGTGGCTAATTCCATCTGTCTTAGCAATTTTCCATGGAATTAGGATGTCTTATTATTATTTTGAAAGTAATAATAATTAAGAGTCTTAGAAATGTTAAAAACACTTTGCAAAGTGCATAATATTTACTTCACACCGTGCTTGCGCCCCCGCGAGACCTGACAAGAGCACCCGCCGCTGCTTTTGAATATCGCGTTAAACTGAGCGGCTTGTATATTTAGCCGCACTGTATTTTTATGCAGAGATTACAGAATCATCACATGTTTTTGAAATGAGTTTAGGAAATGAGTCCTTTCTACGTATTCCATCCAGTATCCCTGTTTAATTTTTTCCTCCACCACGTTTCAAGCAAGGTTGGGAGCAGAATTATCCAAAGATAACAGCGAGATTCACTCATTTAAAATTATCCTCTCCTTCATTCTCCTCCACGTCAAACTGCAGTATGGCTGGGATTGTTTGCTTTGGCCACCCAAAGGGAAATGAAAGAGGAATACTAAAATCCGTGGATCATTTCTCTGAACTCCGTGGAAACTATCAACATTCTGATGTTGATTTATTGTTATTTCCAAGAAGAATATTTGAAAGCCTCTGACCGGAATCACAAAGCTTAGTTTTTTCTATTTTATGAGATTCCCTCAACTGCCATTTTTCCCTCACATACTAGTTCCAAATTGGTTTTGTAAGTATAATTTAACATTTAATGGCTGTAATTTTTGTTATTGGCAAATATTAAAGTACTTTGTTAACTTTTCCTAATCATGATTAAGCTCTTCTTTCAGATTTATTTCACTTAATTTTATGTTTTTACCTTTGTGGTTATACACCCAGAGTCCTTCCAGTAAATGCCTATCCCCTGTTTTCAGTTTCAGTTGAAAAAATCCTCTCCATTTTAAAATAGGCTAAACGTGGTCCCTGTATCAACCATACAGTGAGTTCGATCACATTGAGTTAACCTGCATTTCTGTTTTTCACATTCTTCCGCCTCCACTCAGACCAGCCACGGTCAAGGAGGGCAAGGGAATTGGGTTCTGGACTGTCAAGGTCTTGCAAACACCCAAGTAATGAAAAGACTGTGAAGCAGAGAAAGGAGAAGTCCGAACATCCGCCGGAGAACTTGGATGAACTGGAAGACCATCGTTTATCAGAGAAATCTCTGTCCTCTAGCTCAAGCAAAATGAGGGACCCTCCCCAAATTAACACTGAGCAGTGTGAAAGGAAATGGTCTGGCCATGAGAGGCCCCGGAGACCTCCTCTTCCCAAGATCAGTGGTGAAGTGTTTCTGAGTACCGAGTTTGATGACTGGGAGGCCAGCAGTAGCCATCGAACTCGGAATTGGGAAAAGCAGTCTGGACACCAAAGCGGACTTCCACCAAAGTCTTCTCGAAAAGCAGGAGCTCACCACAAGGAGGCTGTGTATGGGAGGGAGCGTGGGCCCAGGGAGCATGGGCCCAGGGAGCACGGGCCCAGGGAGCACAGGCCCAGGGAGCGCGGAGAGAGGAGGCCCAGGCCCAGGACTCCTCCCTTCTCAGACAGTGAGGAGCTGCTCGAACTCCATGACACAGGTAATAAAGGCAGCTACTAGAAGGCCACCTGGAGCCAACTTTTGCGTAAGGTATTCACTTACTCACCAGTCAGTGTGAAGAAGGAAGGTACTTGTAACTGTCCTTTTCTGTTTGCCCAGAGAACACCCTGATTCGTTACAGGGTTCCTCCAGCCCTGGTTGCAGTGGCTGTGCTGTCCATCCCAGATACAGTTCTTCACTTGCCAAGGTCATACGTCAGAGATTCGGATACCAGTCAAACCTCCCGAATTTCTGGTTTTCCTACAGTGACTCCAAAGATCTGGTGACGCTGCCTTCATAGTATTTGCCTAAACAGAAGACCCCCGAGGCTGGGGTTCTAGGTCTTCTTGACCTTATATTTCCCTTCTGAGATTGGATTAGGAGGCAGTCTCTTAACACAGTGCTTTTCTATTGTGGACCTGAGTCTATTTTCATCAGAATCAGCTGAGCTGTTTTCTAAAAATGAGATCTTTGGGTTTCACATATAGTACCATCTCTGGACTGTGGCCTGGCATTCCGAGCTTGTTTTAGACCTGAGATGATGGTTATGTACTTAGGGTTTGAAAATCCTTACCTTAGGGGGCTTTCTGTGCCTAATGTCCTTCTACTCTAACTCTCCAGTTGGTGTTCTGAGGTGCCAGTATCAGGTAAGTTCTTGGTGTAGGCTCTTTACTTTATTGCACTTCACGGACATTGCATTTTTTACGAATTGACAGCAAGACCTTCCACCAGCAACAAGGTTATGACCCACTGTATTGCTGTATGCACTCAATTGTGATGGTGTGGAACCAAATTTGTACCGTCTCCAAGATACACCTGTAGTTGTACAGGAATGAAGAGAACATTAGGCTTAAGTGTTAAATTTCTGGCATGTCCGAGGCTTAAATCTGAAGTCTATCATTGACACAGTAATACTTCTTTCTATTTTTGTCTGGAAACCTTGTGGCTGTACCACTATAAGTCATAGCACTACTCTGTCTGGTATTTTAATTTGACCTTGCTTATCACCCTGGATCTATGGGGTTGGCTAAAAAGTTCATTCGTTTTTTTTCATAAGATGGCTCTACTAGTAATTAGTTGTCTTTAACTTCAATTGAAACAATTTTATTAGATTGTATTGTGACAGCTGTCATATCAGTGTGCATTAAAAACATACCAAAATTAGTGAATTTTTGTAGTCATTTTAATATTGAAGATGGAAGAAAATAAGCAATATTTTTGACATACTATGCTTTATTATTTCAAGAAAGGTAAAAATGCAACTGAAACTCAGAAAAAGATTTGTGCAGTATATGGAGAAGGTGCTGTGACTGACTGAACATGTCAAAAGTGGTTTGGGAAGTTTTGTGCTGGAAATCTCTTGCTGGACAATGTTCCATCCAGTCAGGTAGACCAGTTGAAGTTGATAGTGATTGAGACTTTAATTGAGGACAGCATTCTACCATGTGGGAGATAGCCGACATACTCAGAATATCTAAATCAATAAAGTTATTGGTGAAAATGAGAACTGTGCCTTTTATTTTACAGAAAAATCATACAGACTTTTTGGCCAACCCAGTGTTTTACTCTCACTGAGCTTTTAGAGAGGCGAGGGCTGTTGGGAAAGGAGCACCAAGGAAGCATCTGTTCTTCTTTTCTTCTCTATTATTGCTTGGTCAGCCTCTGCTTTTGGTCTGGAATCTGTTCTCTGGGCTGCAGATTCAAGTTGACTTAGATGCTTCTTCCTATTATGTTAATTCTTTAAGTTATTAAAGGACTTGGTTATAAAGAAAATAAAAACTCAGTTCAGCGAGCATACTCAGTATCTGCCACAAATATTTTTGCCTCAGGCTTGTGTTTGCGGGTTTATGCCTAGATCTGGACCTCAGAGAGTTAGTAACTCAAAGCAGATAGATGGATATGTAAACAAGCAATTAGATATACTTTGAACAAAGATCTATGGGGGCATAGAGGAGGAAGTGATGTAATCTATCTAGAGTAGGCTTTATGGGTAAGTTATACTATATTCAGATTTAGAAAGACATGTTGGAGTTCTAAAGGTTTGGGGAGGAATGGTGATTGCACCAGCCTCTATATACTAAACCGTGATTCACAGACCCCACTACTGCAGTTGTAGGCAATTTTTTTTTTTTTTTTACCAACACAGGGGTGCTAATGTGGCTACTACATAGCTGCTTATGTCTATCATTTTGTATTCAGCTTTACAAATTTCATCTTCTTAGCCCTTCTAGGCTAGATTTTGCAAATCTAGCCCTTGTAGGCTAGGTTTTGCAAATCTAATATAAGATCTAGGCACACATGTCTATTCGTAAAGTTATTAGCATAGGCCAAATTTAACTTCGTAATGAAGAAACTAGCAGGATGACAAAGAGCTAGTTCTAAGCCCTTGGACAGGATTTCAGAACCGGTTGAAAAAGGAATGCAAGATAAAATTGCTAGGTTAAGTATAAAATTGGGTAACTTTCTAAAGAGCAGTAACACCATACCAGCTTTGAGGGTCACGTCTCCATTGAGCTGTTCTGTCCTATCAGCCTCCTACCTGCAGGTTAACTAACCCCCATCCTCTCAGAGCTGTAGCTCTTCTGCCTCTTTCTGCTCTGACATTTCCCCAAGGGTCAGACTGGCTTAATACAAAGTAGTCCTGCAGTATGTCAAACAATCTATCAATCACCGTTTTACCTTATTTTTAGCAGAATCTATTTAAAGGTAAGTTTTATTTTTGTTTTTTTGAGGGTCTTTTGTTCTCATACTGGCAAATGATATGCAGAACAAGACAAGCAAGAATTAGATTAAGAAATGAATGTGGAACTTGTGGAATGTGGCTCATCTGACCTTTTGAAAGTGAATTTTCAGACTATGTTTATTTAGGCTACCAAAGTGAGGGGGGGGGTGTTCTGTTCATTTTTTAAATTAATGGTGCCTTTAAAGGTTTTAAAGCATCTCTCTGTTTTCTGTAATGAGGCCTTGGACCGCACTGTCTGAACTGCCTTCTTACCTACTCACAAAAGCTCTCTCTACCTCTTAGAGGACACTGCATTGAGTGGGCAGCCCTGTCGGCTCAGAAACCCGGGAATTATTCTGGGCCGTGGGGATTTTCTGCTTATGACACATGCAAGTTCCAGTGAGGAAGCAAGAGATCAAAGAAACTTTTCCCGCTCTCTACTGGCTTGGTCAAAAAATCCGTTACATTTTTTCCATAAAACAAAAGACATGCCTTTCATTTTCACCAGTAACTTAACCAATTTGGATATTTTGAGTATGTCAGCGATCTCCCACTATTGGCTTCTAGTGGATAGAAAAGGGTGCTGCTAAAGACCTTCCAGTGCATGAGACAGCCCCACAGCAAAGAATTATTTGGATGAAATGTCAGTAGTTCAAGAAACTTCACAAACCATTTTTGTCATGATCGATCAGTCACAGCACCTTCTCCATAAACTGCACAAATCTTTTTTGTGTGTTTCAGTTGTGTTTTTACCTTGCTTGAAGTAATAAAAGCATAATATACTAAGTGTGTTATGCTTTTCTTCCATCTTCAATAGTAAAATAGCTGCACAAAAATTCACCAATTTTAATGTTTTTAAAAAATGCATGCTGATATGACAGCTGTCACAATGTAACCTAACACAGTTGTGTTGAATGAAGTTAAAGACAAGCACTGCTAGAGCCATTGTATTGAAGAAACATAGTGGACTTTTTGGCCAACCCAATATTTGGGGCTTAGGGGGAGGTGTTACCTCAAATTCTAACTATTTTTATTAAGGTACAGTTGACATATAGCATTATACTAGTTTGATGTATACATTATAATGATTCAATATTTATATATATATATTGCAAAATAATTACCACAGTAAGTCTAATTAATATCTGTTACCATACACAGGTACAATTGTGTATGTGTGTGAGATAAGAACTTTTAAGATCTACTCACTTAGCAACTGTCTAGTATGCAATACAGTATTATTAACTACAGTCAAAATATGTATAACATATCCCCATGACTTATGTCTTTATAGCTACAAGTCAGTACCTTTTGACCCTATTAAGATCACTTATTTTGCCCCTACCCTCGTCTCCACCTCAGACACCCAGCAATGTGTTCTGTATCTGATGAGCACATTTTTTAGATTTCTTATATAAATGATATTGTATGATATTTGCCTTTCTCTGAATTATTTCACTTAGCATAATGCCCTGAAGGTCTATCCATGTTGTCACAAATGGTGAGATTTATTTTTTATGGCTGAGTAATATTCCATTGTATATATACACTCATGCGCCTGTAGAGACATGAGCCAGTAGAGATATTTTGGTCAATGACAGACAGTGTATATGATGGTGGTTCTGTAAGACTACAATAGAGCACCAGCCGGTATATCTTGGTTGGAGCATCATCTCATAACTGAAAGGCTATTGGTTCACTTCCCAGCCAGGGCACGTACCAAGGTTGCAGGTTCAGTCCCTACAACCTGGGTATGTCTGGGTACATACGGGAGGCCACCAACTGGTGTTTCTCTCTCACACTGAAGTTTCTGTCTCTCTCCCTTTCTCTCTCTCTAAAAGCAGCGAAAAATATCTTTGTGTGAAAAAAAATCCAATGGATCTGAAAAAAAATCTCTATTGTCTAGTGACATCATAGCCATTCAAGTGTCAGAGCAGGAGGCGTTACTCACCTGTTGGCGGTGATGCTGGGTAAACACACCCGACCTGCCAGTCCAGTAAAAGTGTAACGGTACAATTACATATAATACACAGTACTCGATAATAATAATAAACGATGGTGTTACTGGTTTAATGAATTTACTGTACTCTTACTCATTGTTGAGTGTACTCTTTCTACGTATTAAGAAAAACTTGGCTGTAAAACAGTATGTCCTGCTGTGCCAGCAGCAGCCTCATGCATCTCGTGTTTACCTCGTCTCTTGGTTGCACCATTTTCTCTTGTGCTTGATTTGATCTTTGTGTTGTTCTGCTATACAGGCTCGTAGCCCAGGAGGAGTAGGCCATCCCCTGCCGCCTAGTGTGCAGGTTCTGCCGTCTAGGTTTGTGTGAGTGTGCCCTAGGGTGTTCCCACATCGACCAGGTCACTGAACAGTGCATTTCTCAGAACTGTTGTCACTGTTCAGTGGCACAAGGCCGTACTCCTTTGTCCACTGATCTGTTGGGGGGCTGTTAGATTGTTTCCGTGTCATAGATACTGTAAACGGCGCTGCCATAAACGGGAGGGGTACATGTGTCTTTTCGAGTTAGTGTTTTTGTTTCCTTGAGATAAATATACAGAATTGGAATTGCTAGATAATGTAGTAGTTCTATTTTTAAGTTTTCAAGGAATATCCAAACTTTCTCACAATGGTTGCACCGATTTATATTCCTACCAGCAATGCACAAGGGTTCCCTTTTCTCCACATCCTCACCAGCACTTTGGTTTTGGTACTAGCAATTCTAACAGGTGTTTTAATTTGTGTTTTCCTGTTGACTAGTGATGTTAAGCACCTTCTCATGTACCTATTGACTATCTGTATGTCTTGTTTTGAAAAAATGTCTATTCAGATCCTATACCCATTTTTAATCATATATATATTTTTTTGTTACTGAGTTTTATGAATTATTTACATATTTTGGATATTAACCTCTTACCAGATATGTGATTTGCAAATATTTTCTTCCATTTAATAGGTTGCCTTTTGATTTTGTTGATGATTTCTTTTGCTGTGAAGAAGCTTTTTGGTTGGTTGGTTCCACTTGGGTTTTTTTCTTTTGTTGCCTTTGCTTTTGTTGTTGAATAAAAAGAAAAAAATCATCTCCAAGACCAATGTCAAGGATCTTATTGCCTAAACTTTCTTGTAGCAGTTGAGTTAATTTCTGTGTATGATGGAAGGCGGTGGTCCAGTTTCACTATTCTTTCCCCGTTGTATATTGTTGAGTCTTTTGTTGTAAATGATCATATGTTACAGGTTTTTTTCTGGGTTTTCTGTTCTGTTCCATTGATTACTGTGTTTTTACCTGCCAGGAGGTCACAATCTTCTCAACCTGTCAAGCCAATTAAGAGTGTTGCATTTGTGTGCCTTCTGAGTGTCTTTGATAGATATTACAATATCTTATCACTTAATTCTGTGGTGTAGAGTAAGGCAAAATAGTGCAGAAAGCTTCATGTCTTGAAATCTGAGCATATCCCTCTGTATTGTTTCTTTCACTCGATGGCAAAATTGAAGGAGCAAGACACAGTACGGCCTTCCCTGCCATCCTCGACCAGGTTCCTCGACCAGGTTCTGGGCTGCTCATCCAAGTGCCAGTTTTCTGTAGATGGGAGAAAGGCATAGCCACCTACCCTGTCCACCGACTTTGCCGAATACTTACTTTCTTATATAATTTCATTTATCTTACCTAAAATATTCCTTCCTAGTCATGACCACACTAATCATAACTCAGGGAGGTTTATATTCCACTTAAATACGGCCCAGTCTTGGGAGTGTGCCACGGTCGCGTGACTGTCCCAAGCCACTCAGAAATCTGGGTTGAAGCCAGGCCAGGCCGGCTTAAGACTCAGTAGCTCTAGAAATGATGTGAAGTTGAAGTGGACTCTGTATTCTGGGTGATCGTGTATTAATTGGCCTGAAGCTAAGAAAACCATGTTTAATAGTCTTTTTTTTCTTTTTTGGTGGAAAAGGCAGATGAGTCTGTGGCTTTAGAGTTTACCACAAAGCTAGGTTCAAAGCTCTACAAAGAAAGCCATCCCCATCTAACTTAAACTTTATTCATTTGCCCAGAATTGAGTTGTATTTTCTTTTCTTTACTATTTTCTATTTTTTAAAGCAAGCAAATCAAGTGTGGTGAGGCATTTTGGTAAGAACTGTTTTAATGTGCGGTTATTTTGATGGACATAATACACCAGGCTGGTAGTTCCAGTGCCGATTGCAAATAAGAATCAACTGTTAAAGATTTTTTAAAAAACAAAATTCTAAAGACCAGATCTTTCCTGGCTAACTTATATTAGAATCCCTGGGGTTTGGGTCAAAGTTTTTTGTGTTTTTTTTTTAAAGCACCACAAGGGATTTGAGTGTATGGCCATGGTTGAGAACAACTGATATGAAGAAATAGGCAGGAGTGAAGCTCCTTCTCCCATCAGTAATCCATTCAGTGAAAGCCACTATTTCAGATAGCTAATCTTTTTCACTACATTAATCATTTTAATTATTTCTGCATATAAAGCATTCACATTGTTGAATAGTTGTAATTTATAAAGGGTACAGAGAATGAAATATCTATAATTTTGCAATGATCATCATTAGCATTTACTACTTAATTAAAAGTTACAGAAGGAATATGTGCTACAAATAAAATTTCAGAATAGAAAGCCACGATTTGCCACCAGTCCACACCTGTTCCTTTCTCAGAGCGGAACTCAAGTCATTGTGCCATTTCCTTTGTGTTATATCTTCTATAAAATTTAGCAATAACATTAAACTGATCAAAGCTCTGGGAGAGTTCTAAAAAGCAAGGGGTTTTGTTGGTCATCAGCCATGTCAGGACCACTGGGCGGCTGGCAGACACTGAGTCTCATAACTCTAGGGTGGGGGCTGGGGGGTGAGTTGGGGGGTGCTGTTTCTGCTGCGTGCGATCTGAGCTGCATTGGGCTGAGGCACGTAGAGGGAAACCTCTCACTGCCTCCGGGCTGATGGCTTAGCCTCTTTAAAACCTCAACTCTGTAACTTCCTTTTCTCTAAACTCTTTGTATTTCAATGACTTAAGTTACTCCCCCCTCCCCCCCTCTTCTTGTTTGGTGAAAGCCTCGCAGTTTCTTGCTGATTCCTGCTCTTGAGGACACTGAGAGGGGAGGTTTTACCAGGCAGGTCTGGGCGTGTAACTGTGTTGAAGTGTGTGGATTACCTGCGTCTCCACTTCTGTTTCTAAGCAAAGAAATTATTTCAAGGGCATTCTCCACGGAATTTTAGAGGGGCAACTATTTTGTCAGTGTTAGACAGTAAAGAAAAAGGTAAAATTTAAGGTAAAAATTTCTTTTTACCTTAAATTTTGCAGCGTTATAGAAGATAAAACTTGGTTGCCTTACTACATTGAGTTTTTTCTAGGCATGAAGCCGAGAGCCATGAAAGAAACAGTCTCTGCTCCGTCACGAGGGGGCCACAGGGGTCAGGAATGGTACGACGCTGAGATTGCCAGGAAACTGCAGGAAGAAGAAATTCTGGTGAGCAGGTTTTAATGCACAGGTTTAGGTGAATAAGGTGTTTTTTGGTGAGTTGAGTCTTTCTTAGATTATATAATAGGCATCGTAGTAGTCCTTTGTCAGTTGAGACACAAATACCTTTTTTATAGGTGGAAAATCAAAACAACAGGAATAGTGTTTAATTTTATTTACTGAGTAAACATTAGCAATAGAATTCCATATCCTTGTCTCTTCATTATTGAGTTCTGATAATTCTCTAGTAATCTACTGTAGGATTTGGTAAAAATAGACCCTGCTCTGGCTGGTGAATGTGTACCAGCCAATTACCAACTTGAGGCACAACTAGTTTCCAGTACCAGTGTATGTTTATGTAAGATTTAAAAAAATGGACAGAACAGAATTCAATTGAGTTAATTATTTTTGCATTTTCTATAATATAGGCTACCCAGGTGGACGTCAGAGCAGCTCAAGTAGCCCAGGATGAGGTGAGTTGGTGATAACGAGGTGGTTTGTTTAGCCAGTGTTCTTTGGAACTATGACAGTAACTTTCTACCTGCAGTTCTGTAATCAGTAAGAATATGGACTGGATTTTTTTAAGGAAATCGCTAGACTTCTAATGGCTGAAGAAAAGAAAGCTTACAAGAAAGCCAAGGAACGAGAGAAATCGTCCTTGGACAAAAGAAAGCATGAGTCTGATTGGAAGGTAGGTTCTGTTTTGTTGTTTGTTTGTTTGTTTGCTTTTTAATGGTAAGTAACATTACAAATGTAAAGGGGGCACTGCTTTTAAGGTAATCCCTGCAAATATGTTTGGGATGTACAAAGTACCTGTATCACATATGTGAACCTGACTTGTAAAAGTTGTTTCACTATAGAAATCATATTAAATTCTTGAAAGTAACCATGTAAAAAGTTATTGCTAGGATTGAAACACTCATTTATTTTGAGACCCATCAGGATGTAAGCATCCTCTGGTCATGAGCAGTCTTAGTTTTACTATAGTTACCTCACAGGAGAACATAGCATTTTCACATGCATGCAGATTTCCACAGTGGCCTGTTCTTCCTGGCTGTACTTTCTGCGTGTACTGATTTTGTGCCTCATCCCTGGTGATGGACTCAGTGTTCCTCTTCCTCTTGGTCCTTGGCAGGCTGACAGATACCCCAGCAGTCATTGCTTGTGTCAGAGTGCAGGCACTGTCTAGTATGAGCTTGAGCTATTTATCACCTTCCCCTTCATGATTCAGAACTAGGAGACAAAACAGTGATGTCAGTTCACTCTACTGTGATCTAATTATTGTATACGGTGGCTGCAAATACAATTTAACAGACTTTACTCATTAGTTACTTTGTGCAAAGCATTCCTCTGGACTTGTAGGATAAGACAAAGGTATTTCCTTGTGATAATGTAGAATGTAGGCAGGAAGCCAGACTGTAGACAGCTAACAAATACAGGGTCAAGCTGGCTGATGAAAGCCTAATGGAAGAGCAGCAGAGGAGAAGCGAGAGAGTTCATGTAGTAAAGTGTTTCTAGGGAGAGAGTTTGTGTTAGACCTGGACAGATGGCGTGTGTCCACCTGTTCTCTAAGAGATGCCTCCCTGGGTCTCTGGTCCTGTCTGACTCTTGGCTATGAGGAAAGAGAAGCTACAGAAACCATGATAATAGTGTTGTTCTACTTCCTGTTGCTCAGTTACACAGTTGTTAGTCTTAAAGCAAATGAAAGTATCATTTCCATGTTGATTATTTATACTTACCTCCCTCTTGAACCATCTTTGAAATTGAGGATTTTTTTCTTACCCACTTCATTTTTAGTAGAAAGGTTCCTAAATGGTTGTCCATTAGTTAAACCACAAATAATTGTCCAGAGCAGAGTTTCTTTGCTAATAACCCTTTGAAGGAGCAGGTATTTTTAAGAATTACAAATCAGTAAAGTAAAAGAGGAAGGCCACTATTCTATCAGGTATCAGATTGCTGTGCTGTCTAGATTCCTTAATTGGTGCTGATACAGTTCTTGTATTAGAAAATGCCTTGAAATGTGCCTTAGTTACTGGCTTGAAAATTATCCTCCCTAAGTCAGGTGTTCAGAACCACGAGCACACACCTAGATTCCACGGACTCTGGGAGCCCCCCAGGTCTCTCGTTAGCTGGTGTGCACCATGTTGGTAGTGGGTGGCCAGGCACACCCTGGGGGGCGGGGTTTGCCTGGGTTCTTTAGCCCACTGATCTCACTACTCTGACAGCCTTCAGCCTACCTCTGAGACTAATTTTTTTAATCTCTGAGTGGTTGTACTTAAAAATATTTTATGTCTTAAACTGAATGTAAGTAACCTGGAATAATTAAAGGAGAGTAGTTTGACATGATTTAGATATATTCTAAACCTAATCTGTTCCTTTGTTTTTTGGTTTCTTTATGTTGTTTTTTTTTTTTTTTTCCTGTTATAGCCCAAAACATCTAAATCAGCACACTCAAAGTCAAAAGACAGTGACGAACCTCACCGTTCTAAGACTGACAGGCCAGCTCGGTAAGTTGGTACCCACAGAGGAGAGGGAGGAACTTGGCTTTGGGGGGAGTAAAGAGAAGTTGTAGCCCGAGGAGAGTGCATGTTCTTTTGCAAGGACATCCAGACCTGCACTCACGAGGTGGTATCAGGTCATGCCGGGTATTCTCCAACTTTTGTTTCCAGTTTTAAGTTGGGGGGAAGAGGTTGAATGAGAAAGATGGGGCATTTCACAGAAGCCGGGGTGGAGAGAGGGAGGATGTGCCTTTTGTTAGGGCCGAACGGTTCTTGTCTCTGTCTTCGCTGAACCAGTGCCCTCAGCCAAGAAGGGATGAGCTTAAACATGGTCCTAAGTGAAGTCTCAGGTTTTAATTTTTTACTGAGGTTCATGATCTGTGCCTGACATTTACACATGCTCAAGTTCATTTCTATGTGAGTCTCAGTGTCCTAGGCAAATGCTCACTGAGTCATTACAGGCTGTTCTAAATCCCACCAGATCAAGTCACTGTGGCTGTGCATAGGTACTTTCTGGCTTCTCTCAGGCAGTCTTGGGTCACAGTAATGGAGAAGCTGCCCTTTTGACCTCAAGGTGTCAACCTTTAAGTCTCAGGGAAGCAACCTTTGTATTTCCCCTTCATTGCTTTCTGTTGCTTTTCGAAAGAATATATGATTGGAATAGGAGGAAAGAATATTAAATAAAAAAAGATGAAAAATACTAAATTAAACATTTGGAAAATTCTGAATTATTAGAATATTGAATTTTGATCCTGATTTCTAATAATATATTTATTCTTAAAATGTAAGTTTTGTTACACTGAAGGCATACGGTATTGCTATTCCTTATTTGCCCTCACTTAAGCCATGCTGCTTATTTTTTTAAAATGAATGTATTTAGTGCCCTTTAAAAGCCATATTCTAACCCTGGCTGGCGTAGCTCAGTGGATCGAGCGTAGGCTTACGAACCAAAGGATCATGGTTCGATTCCCAGTCAGGGCACATGCCTGGGTTGCAGGTCAGTTCCCTAGAGGGGACGCACGAGAGGCACCCACACATTGATGTTTCTCTCTTTCCCTTCCCCTCTAAAGATAAATAAATAATTTTTTTTTAAAGCCACACTCTATTTCTAAGTCCTTGGGCTTTCAGAAGATAAAGACCCTTTAGAAAATTATGTCAGATTTGTGAAGCATAATGCAACAGTAGTAGAGTTGGTCTAATTGTATAAAATTGGTTCTCATAGCTTTTAGTTAAGCACATGCCAAGCAGTTTTTAAAGATTTTAGTGCCACAGGGTTTGGTCTTATGTATATCCCTGCAGTATCCACGTAAAGTAGCAACTGACTGATCTGTTCTAAGGAAGTGAATAGCTGTGCAGCGAATTGAATTCTGTAGAGTTATTTTGCCATCTTTGAAGTCCAAGGACTCCTTAGAACACTAGAATTGTACAGCAGATAAGGCAGAACAGTGTGGAATAGCCATTTTAAAAGGTTTATTAAAGTTGAAAACAAGTTCTGGGAATGCAACAGGCACTCTTAAGACTATTTGGCATATTGCAAGAGTAAATAATCACATGATCCTATATGAAAAAATGGCTGTAAGTGAAAAGTGACCTATGACTAGTGGATCTGAAGTCTTTTTTGACCTGAGAGGATCATTTGTGTGTAAACATCATTTACAGAAAGATTATGTATATGACAATACAGAAATGAAGAACATTATGTAGCCTGTATGTTCATAGTTTAAAGTTAAAGCCTGTTATCTTACTGTAGCCATCTGCACAGCTGACGTCAGAATGTGTGCTTTCTGGTTAGGATCTCTGCTCCTCTTCCAGAGTTAATCATGGCAGAAAAGTGTGGCCACTTGTACAGAAAAAGAAGGTTTCAAGGACTGAAAAACTTGGACCTTCCTAGGTGAAGATGTTTATTTACTTCAGTGTTGTTACAGTCGCAGCAGAGAGGATTCAGATTCTCAGAGGTTATAGGATTCATGGTCAAAAATCAGTTTCTGTGTCTATTATAAAATTTTTCAACTCTTCCTAAGGAAACAGAGAACCAGCTGGCAATCTGAATTAATTGTACCTCTCTGTATTGGGAAAAAGTGTCCACCCAAGTTCCAAATTTTAACCATAGGATTTTATACTGGTAATACTACCTGATACTGTATTTTCTTCCATACATGTAGTTTTGAATAAAGGTGTTGCCGCTGATAAAAATGGCGACCTCTGTAGTTGAGTGTAGTGTGCTAGTTAAGAGCACTGGTTTTGAAATCCATTTGAGTTTGAGCCCAGGCTCTGCCACTTAACCACTATGAAACTAGATAGATCACTTACCTGATCTTTAACTCTAAAATATGTGTGTGACAGGCAGGCTTAGTGTAAAATTTAAGTGATGTGTATTTATGGACAACCACAGGGCAGTCCTTACTGTATGTACAGGTTTACATCCCATGCTGACCTCTTCCAGACACTGAATACCCAGCACAAGTCTGTTGCTTGAGGAGGGGGTGAGGAATTTGGAAACATTTGCCTTTATTTTTATATGACAGAGCCCATTGTATTTACTAGCATAACTTTCCAAATTGCATAATACTTATGCCTTCCAGATTGTTTGTATAATTACACAAAACATCCTAGAGCATGGTTATATACTGACAAGTATTAACCTCATGTGGTTCCGTGCTTTAGTGCAACAATAAAACAAAAAAGGAGAGATATTATTTTTCATCTTCATTAAAGCCAAATGTTTGCAAAAATCTTGATTACATCATTAAAATAATAACTTTAGAGTAGTAAAAAATTTCCGATGTTTTTTTACATCATTTTGGGGGGGGGTTGTTTTGTTTTATTTTTTGACTTGACAAGGTGCAGATACAGCACTGCCTTTTCCTTCTGTAAGCTCTACTCTGCCACCTAGTGGATTAAGGGATTTTGCAGTAAATTTTATATGTTGACCAATGTCCCTTCTGCCCCTCACTCCCCTCTCTTGTCCTCCCATTTTGCCTGCTGCCCTCCCTCTCTCACCTCCTCTCCCTTTCCTCCTTAACTTTATCACTTCCTTCGTTTGTTCTTTGCTTTCTTCCCGTCTTCTTAAAACCTACCCCACCCATGTAAATTTCTCATTAGTGTCGGGGTCACATCACCATGATCTTTGTTTCTCTAGTCCTCAGCACAGTGCCTCACACATATGGGGTGTCCGAAAATTTGTTTTTGTTGAATTGCGTGCACCAAAACAAAAGAACAGTAAAATAAAATAATTTATCCAAGTGCATGCAACCGGCCAGGAGCTAAAATGAGAATTCTAACACATTCTGACTTTCCATTCATAACAAAAACATTTTTACCACGTGACCCAGTGAGCAGTACAGTTGCTGCCACCACTGCTGCGAGCATCTCTAACCTCAGACCTCCCCTCAGGCCGCCCCCACCTGCCGTGCCAGATGCTGAGGGTCTGGATTACACTTACTTTACCAACCAGCATAACTCCACGCGCCATTTCTCAAGACCGGAGTCCTCTCATAAAGGTAAGAATATAATAGATGGTCAAATTTAGGGTCTTTTTATGTAATCCTCGTGGTAGGGTGGAAAAATTAAATGCTGTCTTACAGATCCGTGAAGTGGAAAAATATTCCTCTCAGCAGAACATTATAATATTCTTCATTTATTAAAAAATAAACAATTTTTTAACAATGCAGAAACAAAACACCTTAAATCGAATGCAAGATTTTCTGTATTTTCATTTCTCTGCAGAGATTTCATTGCTCCATCATATTCTTCATCATATTCAGATGGTTGTTTCTACTATTTAGATCTATTGGGATTTTTCTTTTTTAGCTCTTGTTTACCAAATTCCCAAGTCTGTACTGATTAGACTTAAAATACACAAAACATACACACACACACACAAACACGCAAAAGAAAAACGGGGCAAAGAAAATGAGGAAAGAGGATGCGATTTAAGTTGGACCAGATCTTTAAAATGAAAGAAATGGTTGCATGTAGTTGCTTTTCAAAATATGTGCATTCACTAATGTGTTCCTTAAAGATAGTCATAAAATGAGATAACAAAAAAGTAGTTTCTTGTATTAATTTCCTCATCTAAAAGTGGAAGTGATTTTTTTAACCTTCACCCACATGCATGCTTAGTGAGGAGACCGGAGGGGGACAGAGGGGGAAAGAACGATCAGTGGGAGTATGTCACATCCATGGATCGGTCAGCTGCCTCTGGTTAGTGCCCCAGCTGGGTACCAAACCTGCAGCCTAGGCATGTTCCCTCACCGGAAATCGAACCATGACTCTGGCTTACGGGACCTGGCTCCAGTCAGCTGAGCCACAGCAGTCAGGGCTAAAAATGGAGGCGATTGTAATAGTGTCTGTGTTGTCAGGATCATATAAGTAAAATATCTGAAAGCGAATCTTAGGTCTTACTGATGTTTGTTTGTTATGGTTTCTTCAAAGATTTTGTGATGTTTTCATTATGCTTTTCTAAATCTAACGACAGCCTTCTCAAACTTCTTTTTTCTTTCTGCAGTCATTACAAAATACCAATATACAATGCCACTTCTGACTAACTCAGAATTTGTAGGGGATGAGAGTTGCTGCTAGTCATTGGTATCATTTCAAAGCTTTTCTTCCTCCCGCCCCGCCCCTTTCATTCTGAGAGCCATCCAGTATTGAGAAGAAGACACAAGACATTATTTAAAAGATGGGACTCCTTGGATTTCATCAAAACAACCCCTACACTACAATTTTCATTCTTCTGTGGCCTTTTTACCATCTTTGATTTAACTGGAAGTAGCTCATTTTTCTTATGCTATATGCAGGCATTATTTTTTTTAAGGGCTGCCTTTCTGTTCTTGACATATCTGTGGTATATAGTATTAAAATAACACATGATTTTATATGTAAATATTTTATACTTAAGGTCAAAGAAAACACAAAACGCATAGACATAAAGATGAATAATTTTGCCGAAGCAATCTGAGAGTTTCAAAGTTTAAATTTGTTTTAATTTTTATTTTTTAATCTTATATTTAAAAGTACTTTTAAACTTTAAAAATTATTATTGCCATTCATGTCATGTTACATCAGTTTCATGCATACAATGTATTGATTAGACATTTATATGACTTATGAAGTGACCACCTGGATGAGTCTAGTATCCCATCTGACATGATAGTTACTACAGTATTATTAACTATATTTCTGTGCTGTACTTTAGTTCTTAAGACTGTTTCTATAACTACCAGTTGGCACATCTTCATCCCTTTACTTTTTTCACCCATCCTCCCAACTCTCCTCCCATAATCCAGTCATCAGTTGGTTCTCTGCACGTGAGTTTGTGTCTGTTTTGTTTTGTTTTCTAGATTCTGTGCATTAAGTGAAATCATATGGTATTTGTCTTTCACTGTCTGGCTTATTTCACTTATACTAATACTCTTTAGGTCTACCCACATTGTCTCAAATGGCAAGATTTCTTGTTGCATTGTGAGTGTGTACCACACTTTTTAATACACTTGTCTATAGATGGACACTTTGGTTGCTTTTATATCTTAGCTATTGTAAATGCTGCAGTGTAAACATAGGCTTATGTATGTCTTTCCAAGTCGGTGTTTTTGGTTTACTTGAATAAGTACCCCAAAGTGGAATTACTGGATCTGTGGTAGTTTATTTTTAATTTTTGAGGAAACTTGGTCCTCCATACTGGTTTCCACAGTGGCCGTACCATCTGTGTTGCCGCCAGCAGTGCCTGCGAGTTTCTCGATTGTCGATTGTGTGATGGCAGCTGTTCCGAAAGGGGGGGGGTGTGATCTCTAATTGTGTTCATTTGGATTTCCCTGACCACGAGTGGTGTTGAGCATCTTCTTACATGTCTGTGGGCCATCCGTATGTCCCCTCTGGACAATTGTCTATCTATTCAGGTCTTCTATCCATTTTTTAATTGAATTGAGGGTTTTTTTGGTGTTAAGTTGTTTGACTTTCGTATATATCTTGAATATTAACCCATTTTGGGATGTTTAACTGGTGAATATCTTCTCTTCATTCAGTAGGTTGTCTTTTCCTCTGGTTGATGGTTTCCTTCAGCGTGTAAAAGCTCGTTTACTTTGATGTAGTCCTGTGTGTTTATTTTTTTGTTTTCTTTGCCCAAGGGTACATATCCTTACATATATAGAGAGAGAGCTAAGAACGATGTCAAAGAGTTCACTGCCTGTGTTTTCTTCTAGGAGTTTTATGGTTTCCAGTCTTACATCTAAGTCTTTAATCCATTTTGAATTTATTCTCGTATTGATACATGATATAAGAAAGTGATCTAGTTTCATTCTTTTGCATGTGTCTGTCCAGTTCCCCAGCACCATTTATTAAAGTGACTGTTTTTTCCCCGTTGTGTATTCTTGCCTCTGTTGTCATAGATTGACTGTGTAGGCATGTGTTTCTTTCTGGGATTTCGTGTTCAGTTGTATTGATCCATGTGTCTGTTTTTATGGCAGTACTATGATGTTTTTATTATTATAACCCGGTAGTGTAGTTTGATATTAGGTAGTGTGATACTTTCAACTTTGTTCTTTTTTTCTCATGACCTCTGTAGCTATTCGGGGTCTTTTGGGTTCCATATAAATTTTAGGATTATTTGTTCTAGTTCAGTGAAAAATACCATTGGTATTTTGATAGGGATTGCATTGAATCTGTAAATTGTTTAGTTTCAGAGATTTTTCTTTAATGATGTTTCTTCTTTTTTCCTCCCTTCCCAGGTTTCCATTACAAGCAGTAGAAACCTAGGCATCTGCCTTGAAAATGGACTCACTGTGGCAAAGGTCACTGGATGATGCAGGACGCATTCCACGCTTCTTCCTTCTTCCTGTGTTTCTGTTCCTGGGATTTATCCTCAAGTGTTTTTCTGACCATAAATAATTTTTAATGCATTTAAAATGATGTTTTGCTTATTTCTGATCATTTGGGCAGTACAAGAAAATCTAGCTTCTGAATATTGACCACCTCCATGCTGCATATACTTCCTACAAAATGCCATTTTTCTTACATACAGAGTATTGGCATCTAGGAACTAAGCTTCATTTAGGAATTAGAATTTAGTGAAGATCATATGATCAAGGTAAAACATAACGTTTGGATAAGATGCAGATAAAAGAAGGTAAGAAATAGTTTTGGGAGGTACATTAGTGTATGATATATGGAAACACAGAGCCGTTTGTTTTTGTACTCTTCAGGAAAAGAAAAATATCACAACTGTAAAGTATTAAAAAAAAACATCTGGAACAGTTGAAACATGTTACTCTGACCACCAGGACTGTATGAGTTTTGCAGATCCTTACAAATTCTCCAGGGAAACTTGGCCTGGACGCGCTCTCACACTTTCTTGCTATTGCTTCCTCAATAGCAAGGCTTCTGAAACCTCGAGGCATTGCCCATTTATTAGTATTTATTGGAAAAAACTTATTTCTATTATATCTTAACTCAGGTCTATGTGAAGTCAACTAAAAATGAAAACTTTCTATTTCTTCTTTTATTTTACACTTACTCATACAGCCGAGGCAAATGGAATTAGGAAGTAATGATCTCATCATTCTCTCTGGCCATAGACTGACGTTTTCCTCTTGCTTAAAAAACATAATAGTATTTGTTGGCAACCTCTCACAGATGTTTTACACATGTCCCAATAATTAGGTTAATTCAACTTGAAGTTGATAAAGTACTTCTTTATGCAAGTTTTTGATTCTAAATATTCATTAATGATACATGATCATGAGATCCTTAATATAAGACATTTAAACTCCTCTTCAGGAAATCTAGTCTTTGTCTAGCTCCTAACCTTATGGAAATACTTCTTTTCCCACCGTAGTAAGTAAACCCAAATGTCAGTCATGCTGTATTTACACATACATACACAAACACACATGTATATGTATGTGTATATATGTCTATATGTATGTGTAATATATTCACAGCTTGACTGCCTATTATTTTTCACCGTATGGTGTTTGTTTAGGAATGAAATGTATAGGCAACTAGAGAAAAAAGCTCTTAATCCATTCTTTCCCCATTGGGAAATGCCTTCCGTTTGCCTTACCTTTCCAGTGTTTAGAGTCAGGCAATATTCAGGAAGCTGTTTAGAGTAGTTTTGAGAGTAGATTTGGATCTTTCATTCTCAGAAGGGTCTTGGGTTTCATAAAGTTTTTGGATTATACGAATTAGGGTAAAAGGTATCTAAAAGAGTTAAGTTTTGGGGAGATGATAATCAAAGAAAGAAACAAAACCCTAAGGAAGGGAGTCATTTCAGAGAAATGGGGAGAGGGAAAATAATAGGACTTTGAGTGGCCATGATGAAATGAATGAGGAAAAGCCTTCATTTCGTCGGGGCAAACCAGAGTGGTCCTGGCTTTCCATCAGACTGCAGAGGCGGTGGTTTCAATGTCCGAAGCTGAGGCCTGTTGACTCACAGGAACGCTGTAGGTTTCTTTGTCTGCCCTGTGGTTTTGCTTCTTGTTTTTTACAAGTTTTTATGGTAGATTTAAAGAAAAAAGTATTTTTATTTGATAGTAAGGCAAATGGGCAATATCATTTGCCATATTTTTATTTTATAAATGTTTATTTTTATATCTCATGCATTGATCAGTTTTACTTTTAAAATTCTGCATTTCTCTTGCCTCACATGTACTTTATTCGATTGTATTTATTATTGTGAAATGCCAACTGAGTATATTTCATTTCAAAATGTCAGGCCACTTAACACTTAACCAGGATGTTAGTGTTTTAACTGTCTTAGTGAGTGACCAAAGGTGACATTTTCCTTGTGACATTCAATTCAACTTCTGTACTGAAAATTTGATTTTGGGGGGGTTTTAAAAGATTAGTATTCTAAGATATTTTGATTTAACTTAATTTTTTGTAAAGCAGACACTTTTTAAAAAGAGTATCAGAGTAATTCTTTCCCCATGAATAAGGAGACAGAAATCAAAGTCGACCAGTGAAATCCTCTTACTCTTATTCAAATAATGCGATTATCTTTGAGATCATAGAAGCAACTAACAAGAGTATTTTAAGAAACTGCCAAATTTCACTGCATTCTCTGCTTTTCACTGTCATTTTTTTATATAAGTGTGGAAGCTTTTATTTTGTTCCTGTTCCTAGTACTAGAACACATGCAATTTAATTTTTAGGCCCACAGTGCATTATGCTTTAATGTTGTGATGTAAACTAATGCTTCTGGACTTGGAAAATCTTTTTGTTTCTATACCTCTGTTCTCTGGAGGCCAGGCTCTGTTAACCAGTGTTGCCGAATGAGCGTAGTATGTTAAGGAGCCTTTTACTGGACACACACAACCTCTCCCCCAACCTTGATTTTTGTAGGTCATTGCCGGAAGGCTGGTGAGGTAGGGTCCACTGAAACGTTCTGAGTTAAAAAGATGTCGGCTCTATGTCGGACTGGTACTAACAGTATTGTTTACTGAGAGCCTAGACAGTTATGCACACACTTTAAAAGAACATCGAGATTTTTAGAAAGTGACTTTGAATACCATTGAAATACTATTTCTCAAATGTCTTTACAAAAACTAGCAACAGTCTAATGAACTGCAAGAAAAAATACATGGCTTTTCATTGTAGAGAAATGTCTAAAGTAGAAAAGAAAGATATGGAGAGATACTCCCAGGAGGAAAACCTTTCCAGAATGACAGTGGCCACTTGGATCTGCATCATCGTATTCCCACTGTGTGACCAGTGGCCTGGTGCTCCCCACTGGGAACTGTGAACGGGACCCAGTCCCTTCTTTCCTTCTCTGCTGTGGCCCGCAGCCAAACTTCGGTGATGGATAAATTCATTGCTGACTTTGACCACACCTTTCCCTCCATGTCAGGACTTTTTTGGTATGAAAATAATTAACTTTTAACTGATAATTATTTTTCTTTAATACTGTCACATATTCTCTAAATTCATCTTGTGCCAAGTTGTTCTTTCAAACACCTATTATAATATGGTGCATTCATTTTACCACAAAAGTGGTTAACATTTTAGAGCCTTGATTTTTAATGAGTATTACCTTTGTATAAAAAATCACTTTGGGGAATACCAGGGTTATTCATTTATTCAGTGATGACTTTCTTAAAAGATAACTGGTGATTGGCTATAAATCTTCAGCCAAATATAGGGACAACTAACCTGAGTAATCAGCTTTCTGAAGGACTGAGAGCAGAATACAACTTGCATTTAAGGGTTTTTTTTTCCCCTTTTGGGAAAATAGTATTTGTGTAGGGGGTGTCGATGTGGGAAGGGAGCACTGATTGGGTAGATTTCACTGTACATAGTGTGCCATATTCTGATAGCATTGGCTTTTTAGAGAGAATCATAAAAAATAGAGGTGTGTTTATTCAACATAAAGAAAAACACAGATTTTTTAAATACTTTGTTCATTAGTTACTGCTCATTGTCAGAGAAGTGACTAGATTAAAAGTTCCCATTTTTCCTCACATCTGGTGGTGCCTGTGAGTCTTAAAGCCATAACTGCTTATCTTCCTATTGCCGAATCCTTTTCTCCCCTGTGCTCGTAAGAGGTAACAGGGGCAGGGAGAAGCAAAGACTGTCCAAATAATGCTGCGTGGGGCAGAGAGTCATCCAGATTCTTGGGGGAAGAATCTGTTATCCTGATGATATTATATAAGGTCATTAAAGGGAAGTGTCCAAGCTGTTGTTGCTCTTGCCATTTAACTGTTGTTGGAAAAGCTGAAGTTTCATTCTAGAGAAGCCAAGAAGGAAGCGGTAAACTGGGAAAATCTCACTTCTACAAAGTCACTTTTCTGATGAGACCTGCTCTTTCTGTCAGCATTGTCTCGGGAGCAGTATTGCCTTAATTAGCGTGATTCCAACCGAGGTCAGTGTATTGTACTTCTTATATGTAAATGACTGTCAACTCTCCATTATCCCTAAACATCCTTGCTACCAGGAAGTTTGAAGCTCCTTCCACTGAGCTATGGGTAACCGATACACTGTTAGATACATCATTTCATGTCAAGTTTGCCTCGCTGTCTGCAGACGGGCGGTGGCATGACCAAAAAGGCTGGTAGGAGGGGGGAAGTCTCCTGGCCAGATTCTTCAGGTGATCACTTCCTGAATAAGTGAGAGTTGACTGTCTTTTTCCATTATGACTCTGTAGGGGATATTTCCAAAGGTTCTGTTACACACTAAAGTCAACTCAGTATTGTCTTGTAAGAATTTCATCTGCACTCTTAGTGCGGAAGTGCAGGACATTAACAACAAAAAGAAAACCAAACAAAATAGAGACCTTTACTTGAAACTAGAGATTTGATGGTGTGAAGAGTCCTTCTGGTGTATTACTTTCATAGAAAATTACCCAGGGGAACTCATTGTGACGGGGAAGACACCAGGCTGTTCGTGGAAGGTTGTAGTTGATGCCCCAAACTAACATAACCGTCTTAAGTACTCATGTTGATGTATGGAAATATCTGGTCCTAAAAACCACTCTTTCCCTATGTATTTGTGTGAATTGCCTAGAAACATGTCCCAAATAGATTTAATGCGCATTTGTGTATTCTCAGCAACTAGAAAGTTTTTTCTCCTTTTGAGTGGCTCCTCATGGCATAGGGGCCCAGCACTATGCTGGTTCCAGCGTTTCAGACAAGGACAGAATTAATTGTATAACTCAGTTCCCCACTGTTTATTGCTGAGGTTCATGTCTAAAGAACAGAATTAAAAGACAGGGTTTGAGGGACATTTCTTTCACAAAGAGCAAGGATTAAGAACAGTGAAGACAGTTGGGGGAATTTCCTGTCACACGTTATATGCTTAGGATATGTTTTTGTTGCACTGAATTTCAGACCGTCACTGCTAAAATAGCTTCTACCTGTTAAATTTTGTGGGAGGGGTTTTGATGTTAGAATATTTTAAAAAACTTCTGGTTGAATTAGTCTTTGAAATCCCTGCAGATTATAACTTCAACTCTTGCTATAAACCGAAAGCCCAGTGCCCTTTCTCTGAAATAGCTATATTTTTTACCTGCCTCTTACAGGCAACCCAGTATTTATCTCATGAGGTATTGTACATAATGAGGAGGTATAGTAGGAAGACAGCGTATAAAAATGATGATCCAAAATGAGAATTCTCTGAAATGGTGTTTTCCTTGAGAAGAATCTATCCCAGCACAATATTATATTTTAAAAGGTGCTGAATTAACCAAGTACAAGAGTTTGCTTGTATAAATCAAGTTGCTCAGGAAATTTGAGGTGGTGCTGTCATTTGTCTTACAATTCGGAAAAGCACTCTTTTGAGACAGTTACTACACGGTACCCAGTTTCAGATTCTTTTGACATTTGCAACATGGATATGTTTAAACAACATGTAAGGCATTATCCCAAGTGCTCATCAACTTGTAGCCAAGCCCCGGAGGGAAAGGCAGCTTTGGAATGGTCACTTCATGAAACTGAACAGTACCTTAATGGAACAGCTGCCCAAGGACAGAAAACAGAAGCCACCTCAAACCACATGCCTATCTAGAGATTAAGTGAAACTGTGAGGGACACTTTGTGGATGCCTTAAAGGTGACCGATGTGGGGGACTGGTGGGTGTGGGTGCACCCATCTGGATAAGCCGGAGGAGACGGTCTGTTTTAATTCACCTTCACACAACACAAGTTGTTCCCGCTCATGACCTCATTGAGGAAAACAAGAAACATGGTGCTGGTGACTTTCATGTGTCTTGGGAGGTGGAGGTGGCAATGTCAATTGGACTCTCCAGTGCTCAAGCCTCCCTTAAATGCCACTTACACATCTACATTAATTCATCTATGCAAGCTTGTGTTTTTATGGTTTGTTTTTTATACCTATGTTCCATTTGATTCTATAAACATCAGGATTCACATTGACATTTTGAATAATTTTCAAACCAAAGTATTGTATAAGTTTGTGTGCTTGTTTTCCTGGCTGGTCTGAGGCAAACACCAATATTGTCCTTTTCTCTTAATAAAGTCATACATTTGTTAAAGTCTGTGGTCTCTGACTCATGTTCTCTTCACTGCCTTCGAAGGTTTAGAAAGTTCCAGGAGGGTTATCTGTTTTCTTTACAAAGGAGCCCTAATATGTCTTTCTTTAATTATGGAAAATTGTCTCTTATCCAAGTTCCATCCCCTGTTTGTAACCACCCACACGTGACACTGATATGCTCTCTGATCATGGCAATTCTTGACGAGTACCCCCGAGTCTAAAGTTGGTTAGAAAAGTGGGTTTGTTCTGTGTGTGGTGGTGGCTTGGCAGATATGTGGACGTTCATACAGTGATCCAGACAACTGAGGACCCCATGTGTGCAGCGACTTCCTCTGCCCTGCACACGACACTTTGTGGACTTTGAAAACACACATTAATAATAACTACTGTTTTGTTTTACCTTTATGAGGCAGAGGTCTTTATTTTATTTAGCTTAATAGGATAACCATGATGTGGGAACTGATTCTGTAGAAATGTAGCAGGTTACTTAAAAGTAATATACTACTTCAGTGACAATTAAAGTGATTTTTAAAGAGGTCACTAATTAATTTTCCTGAGCCACACTCTTGAGGCCTCTTCTCTGGCCAGTATTATAGAGAATCTAAAAGATCTTATGTATCAGTGCTGTATGTCACAACCAGGTGCCTGAGGGACACCAGTGGTGTACAGGTGTTACTTAGTTAAAGCAAGTTTGTATATTTATTTTAGCCTTTCATTTCTAAAGAATCACTGGGTGCAAATTGCCAGTGCAAGACGGTGACACATCTACGAGTTGATTTTTTAAAAAAGTACTTCTGATAAGAACAGATGGGTGTGGACAACAGCAGGGTGATGATGGAGGTATGAAAGGCTAGTGATGGGAAGAAGACGATAGAAAATCAAGCTACAATAATAGAGAATATGTAATTCACGTAAGCTCCCTTCAATCTGTAGCGGAAGGTGCCTAATACGATCGGGTGGGTGTTTGTGGATGCGACTGAGTCCGAGTGGGGAGAAGCAGCTCCTCGGGAAGCCCCTCCTTAAAGGCCTCAGGAGAACGTTAGCCAACCCCGCCGGCCCACCATACATTTGGAGATTTAGATCTCTAAGAGCACTTTGGATTACTACAAGTCGTAGGGTAGGGGGTGCAGACAATTTCACCCCCATGTCAAGGGGCAGAAGACCACTTGGCTCCTCCCCCCAATTGCATACAGGTTGTGTGCTTGCTGAAGACAGCATGAAAGTCAGTGAACTAAATACATTTACAGGAATAAGGAGATTAGGGTCCTCGTCCTGGCTTTGCTGTGTGTAAACTTGCTTCCAAATCTGGGGACACCAGCGCTGGCCCTCTGTACCTCCGTACCTTCACTAGAGAGGCCTGTTGCCATGAACGTTGGTGCTCTCTGAGCACCCCTTCAGCCTTGACACCAGGGTCCTTGCTGCCCAGGCCTGCTGGGCTTTCTAAGATGCTCTGGAAAGAAAAGAGCCTCCTGTAGTACTGGGGCCTGTCAAGTCCACAGAACGTCCTAGGCATTTATTCGTAGGTCTTATTTCGGATCTTGGGTTCCTTAAAAACACAAGATTTTAAATTTCTCTTAATTTTATTTATTATTTGCCTTTCTTGACAAAAATTGTACGTATACAACATGATGTTCTGATTTACATATGCACTGAAATGATTACCACAAACTATTTAACGCCCAACTTTTATTGTTACCTTTGTGTGTGTGTGATAACACGAGATCTATTCTCAGCAAATTTCGTTTATAACATACTGTTGTAACTATAGGCACCATGCTGTATATTGTGTCCTCTTACAACCGGAAGTTTGTTCGTGCCTTTTGCTGCCCCGAGGTGCCTGACTGCACTATTCTCCCAACCCCTCACCCAGAACATTGCCCTTAACTTACCTGGGTCTCGTTAACCAAAATCTGTCTTTATTCCCAAGTTTCAAAGGGGAGCTCCTTCATGAAAAAAGCCTGAGGGTGGTCTCGTGAACCCCTTACCTCCCACTAGTAGACCTTGCTTTCATACTCCCAAACACAGGCCTCTCACCAATTCCGGTGCCTAATTATACAGACCTGGTTCGGGTCCTGTTAATCACGACAGGTGTTAGTTAAACCTGCCGCGCCACGTTCCTTGGCGTCGTTGCTCACCTTACAAACAGCGCTGGGGGCGCCTGCCTGACGGAGGAGGACTTGCCTGCCCACGGGCCACGCTGCTGCCCTCACACCTCACACCCGACCTCGGGAGTTCTCACAACACACCTGGGGATGTGAGTGTGAGTGTGTGTGAGTGTGTGAGGATATATGTCTGCAGTGTATCTAACTTTGGCTTGGAAGGTCTGTGTATAAATGACAATGGACTTTTCTGACCTGGAGTGGTGAGTACCAAAGGGTGTATATCAATTTTCCCTTTTATGGATCGTGCAAAATGTCTCAAGTCTTAAAATTAAGTCTTCGTCTAGCCTCATCATGAATATTTTCTTCTGTATGTTTTTTCCTAAAAGTTTTGTTGTTTTAAGTTCTGCATTTAAGTCCTTAATCTACTTTGAGTTAATTTTTAACTAAAGGATAGGTATTAGGTCCAGTTTTTTGGTTTCGGTTTTGTTTTTTTCGTTGTTGTTGCCTGTATGTCCAATTGCGTTTGCCCCAATTGCTTTGATACCTCTGTCAAACCCAGCTGAGCATACACTGCGTGCGTCTGTTTTGTGAGTGCGCCGTTGTTTCCCATGGGCCTCTTTCTCCCTCCGCCAGTATTACAGTCTTGATTACTGCAGATAGACAGTGAGTCTTCGAATGGGGTAAACTGATTTCTTAACTGCATTTTTCGAAATTGTTTTAGCCATTCTAGTTCTTTTGCCTTAGAATTTAAATTTTAGACTAATTTTATACACATCTACAAGAAATATTGCTGGGATTTTGAAAGGAATTATATGAAACCACTGTATCAATTTGAAGAAAATTGACGTTTTTATTGTGTTGTCTTCCAAAAAAAAAAAGAAAACTAATGCTATGTCTCCATTTATTTGAATCTTTCACCAGTGTTTTGTAGTTTTTAGCATTTGCACTCAGTACAGGTTTTGTTGGGTGTCTTCTAAGTGTTTAATTTTTGTGTGATCATAAATGGTGTTTCGTGTTCTCGTGTCTTGCTAACATACAAAAGTAAATTGATTGGGTGCATTTGTCTTGTATCCTGTGGCCTTTCTGAACTCAGTCCTTCTAGTTCTGTGTAGGTTGATTGGTTTTCTACATAGACGATCGTGTCATCTCTAAAACGAACAGTTTTACTGCCTCCTGTCTTATTTGTATGCCTTTCATTTCCTTTCCTTATTGTACTGCCTGGAATTTCTAGCACTGTGAGCAATAAAAGAAGTGAGAGCGGATATCCTTGCCTCGATTCCGAGCTTAGGGACAAGCATTTGCTTTTGACATTTTAGAATAATGTAGCTATTTGTCTTTTTATGATGCTTTCTGTCAAGTTGAGGGATTTCTTTCACCTCTTGTTTTCTGAGAGTTTTAACCATGAATTGTGTTGAATTTTGTCAAATGTGTGTGTATGTGTGTGTTACACTGATTTTGAGTTCGGAGTCAGGCTTGCATCCCTGGTATAAAGCTCACGTGGTTGAGATGTGTACTTCTTTTTTTATATAGTATTGTCGAATTCTGGTTTCTAATGTTCTGTTAAGGATTTTGCGTTTATATTTGTGAGCAATATTAATCTGTAGTTTTTGTACTGTCTTTCATTGAATTTTGTATTAGGGCAGTGCTAAAAATAGAGAACTTTCCTGTTTTGTGGATGACATTAGGTAGAATTGGTGCTCTTTTAAATAAAGGTTTTTATAAAGAATTTTGCAGTGAAATCATCTGTGCCTGGAGATTTCTTTTGGGGAGCTTTTTAAGTAAATTTTTAAATATATTTTTATTTTTTTTACTTAAAAATTTTTTTTTAATTTATTTATTTTTAGAGGGAAAGGAGAGAGGCAGAGAAGTATCAATGTATGGTTGCCTCTCATGTGTCCCCTGCTGGGAACTGGCCTGCAGCCCAGGCATGTGCCCTGACTGGGAATCGAACTGTAATCCTTTGGTTGGCAGGCGTGGACTCAATTCACTGAGCTACACCAGCCAGAGCTTGGGAGTTTTTAAAAATTCAGTTTTTTTAAATAGTTACAGGACTATTCAAATTATGTTTTTTCTATTGAGTACATGTTTTTCAAGGAATTGGACCATTTCATCCAAGGTGTCAAGTTTATGTGTGTGGAAATGTTCATTCCCTGTCTCTTTGATAACTGCTGGGTTTGTAGTGATGTCTTCTTTTTTATGCCTGATATTGGCAATTTGTACCTTCTCTATTATTTTTTTGTTTTTTGCTAGTCATGTTAGAGGCTTGTCTATTTTATTGACCCTTTTAAGGAATTATCTTTTAGTTTCATTGATATTTTCCTATTTCTTTGTTTTCACTTCCATTAGTTTCTGATTTTTATTATTTCCTCCTGCTTGTTTTGGGTTTGTTTTGGTCTCCTTTCTAGGTTCTTGAGGTAAGAGCTTCAATTACGATTTGAGACTGTTTCCTCTCTTCCACCGTAAGCACTTAATGACACAAATTTCTCGGCTTGGGTGAGATAAGTGGCACCGCTTTGACTGGCTCACACATTTTGATGTGTGTTGCTTTCATTTTTGTTCAGAACAACGTATTGTTTAAAATCTCTCTTGAGGTTTACTCTTTGATCTGTGGATAATTTAGAAGTGTTCTGTGTAGCTTCTAAATTTCGGGAGGTTTTCCTGATACCTGCTTTTAATTGCCAGTTTGATTCTGTTGCGGCTAGAGAGCACGTTCTGTGTGGCTTCAGCTGCGTTACATGGCAAGGTCTGTTTTGTTTCCCTGCATGTCGTTTGTCTGGGATGTTCATTTTTTGTTGTTGGGTGGTGTGTTTGAGGAGTGTTGGCTGGATCTTGTTGACTGGTGACATTATTAAGTTCTTCTATGTACTGACCTGTCTCATTCCACGGATTCCCAAGACAGGGG